GCATGTATAGTAGTTTGTCGTGCCCTAGGCCCTCTGTCCCCTGGCATGGAAACAGCTTTTCTGGGAATCTTCTCTCCGTTCAGTCGAATAGAACTCATGTTGACCCTTCATCATGGCCCCCTGACCCAGCTAGTTTCTCAACCCTGGTATGGAAGGTCTGCTAGGTAGCAGGCTCTGAGGGCTGGAGATGGCCCAAGGTAGCCAAGGAATGTGAATGTCAGGCAAACTCTGTGTACCCCTCCTTGCTGACATCCCAGTGGAGGTGCTTTGGGGAGCAGGTGAGGGCAAAGGGAAGGAGTGTCTGGACAGCAATGCTCACATCCCTAGTGTTCCCTTCTGACCCAGCACTGGGCTTTTGGGGTCAAGAAAGTAAACAGTGAAGAGGGCAAGGAAGGGACTTCAAGTTGATGCCATTCCAGATAAACTGAGACAAGTGGTTCCAAATGCCAGTCCTCTCAAATCCCTGAATTTCCTCATTCTGAACATAGCTCTGCTCTGCTCAGGAGGAAAGCTAGCTTCATGCCTCATGGAGAGGAGAAAGGTCAGGTGAGCACAGTAAGGGCAGGCTAAAAAACGTAGGCCTAGGGCACCTCTGCTGGGGCTGTCAGGGAGATAGACCTGGTACCCTTCCAGATACCCTACCAGAGTAGGGTATACCTATGAGCAGAGTACTTAGGGGCAGAGAGTGAGAGCAACCTCCCGGGTGCTCTTGGAATTTGGAAATGGACATATGCCTTGAGTGGCACTACGTTGATGGTCAGTAAAGCACCTATAGCTGCCCTCCTTCCCCTTTCACTCAGAGCAGCACCCTCCCCACAGGCAGCACAAGACTGGGCCCGCCTGCCTGGTCCACCCTACTCAACTGAGGAAGCCAGGGCCCACACTGGAAATGGAGGATTAGAACCAGAGCAGATAGCCCAGGGATGAGATGGTTTCTGAGGTCCTTTCCAGCTCTGAAACTATGACTGGTACCCATAGATGCCCAGATAAGGAACACTGAGCACATCGGAAGAATTTCCACACCACAGATCAGGCAATTGCCAATAACAGCCGGTCAGTAGGCAGCATGATTTAGGTCACCATGACATGGAAATGTGCAAAGTGGGTTGGGCACATGCCTTATCACCACCATTTAGAGGAGCCTCACCCTGCATTTGGCTAGGGGTGTATCTCAGGGTTGGCTAGTCTATCTCAAAGAGAGATTATCAATTTAGAACTTTAAGACTATAGTAGAAAAAAAAGACTAGAGTAGCAGCAAGAAAGTGCCACCTTTTTGTATTTTTGGCAACGTGATGTGAGGTTTAATGCATGGTGTTTCAACCCTCTTCTTCCATCATCACTTCTATTTAAAATCCACTTTTAACCTTGTCTCCTTTGCGTTTTTAGAAATAGGGGCAACTAGGTGGTGCAGTGGATAGAGCACTCTGTCCTGGAGTCAGGAGAACTTGAATTCAAATCCAGCTTCAGACACTTGCAAGCTGTGTGACCCTGGGCAAGTCACCTAACCATATTACCTCAAAAAAAAATCTTAATGGTCCTTCTTTTGTTATTGTGGGGTTTTTTCTTTCTATTTTTCCTTCTTTCTTTTTTCAGGTGTATTTATTTTGCTACTTGTGTTTCCTTTGGTTGCTGCGTTTGCTTTTTTTTGTATTTCTGTTTTTGATGTGCTTGAAAAGCAAATAATCTGCTCATTTCTGTGTTTTGTTTGTTTGCTTTTTGGTGAGTCAGTTGGGGTTAAATGACTTGCCCAGGGTCACACAGCTAGTAAGTGTCAAGTGTCTGAGGCTGAATTTGAACTCAGGTCCTCCTTACTTCAAGGCCAGAGCTCTATCCACTGCACCACCCAGCTGCCCCTCTGTGTTTTTTTTTGTAGGAATGCTTGAAATATCTCCTTTAATGAATGTCCCTCTTTTTTTATTGCTGATTAGACTCAGGTTTGCCCACTGAGTTTCTCTGGGTTGCCTCACCCTCCTTTGCTCCTCAAAATACATTATTCCATTGTATTCTGTGGTTTCTGGCAGTTGCAGAGTAGTTTTGTGTTACTTGAATTAAGGAAGTGCCATCTTGACCTTTACCATATATTCATCCCCCACCCTCTGTGGCTGAACATAAACACTCAGCCATCTTCTTTGCAAACATTTATTGGCAAATTCTATGCATGAAGGTATGTTTTCTGAGGCCCAGGGTATCCTTGCCTGGTCTTCACCCAGGGCAGAGCACAGACCCGAGTGCACCGCAATAAACATCCTCTAATCTGTTAGGGGATGTTATTGGGGTTAGCAGTTGTGGGACTTGGTGGATGTGTGGCATTAAGCTGTGTGAGGCGCCCCTGTGAAGAGACAGGTCTGCCCTTCGTTTGCGGGGCTAGAGAGACAAGAAACAACAGTGGTTAAGATTGCTGGCGCCTTCTCTATACTACCGAGTTAATCTCTGAGAGGGGGCATAGTCCGGAAGAATTACACTGGAAACACACGCTAAGGAATTCTCCCCCTACAGGGCAGGGACTTTGGTTCGTCTAGCCTCACTGGGGCCATACTGACTACAGAAATAAGCACAGGGGTGTATGGCAAACCTCAAGGTTAGGGTAAAGTCAGTGTTTATGGTGGTACAAGTTTTAAGTTTCGAGCCCCCACACCTAACTTAAACAAAAAAGTCAAATGGGCCTCTTTATCCATTGTGAAGTACCAAATAAATGGGCCCCAACAATTCTTTTAGGGATTTCTTTTTAGACAAAATTCACCCTAGTTGGTATAGGAATTTCTTCTGAGCCCTGCTTTCATATATTTTTACCCATCCCACTAAATGTTGTTTAAAACTCCATCGGAGGAGCAGCTAGGTGGCAAAATAGATAGAACACCAGCCCTGGAGTCAGGAAGATCTGAATTCCAATCTGACCTCAGACACTTACTAGCTGTGTGACCCTGGGCAAGTCACTTAACTCTGATTGCCTCCAAAAAAGCTCAACAAAAAAACCAAAAACTCCAGTGGACATGAAGGTGACCAGGCTAAGACCTCCTTAAATATACCTTCGGTAGGGCCTTAGGGAGGATCAGAACAGCCTAAAACTGTGTTAGAGGCCTGGGAAATAGGAATATGACTGATCATCTGTCAGTTACTATTCCCTTTCTCAAGGAATTCCAGGCTGTGCTCCTGAGTGGGCCAAAATGGGCCTGCTCAGTTCCTAACTTCTAGCCACAGGGTATTTTCTCTCATCTAGCCCAACATTCTCAGTTTACCTAGAAGGGAATTAACTGTCCACGGACACACAGCTAACTAGTATCAGAGCAGATCTAGGGACTCTGATCCTCAGTTCACTATTCTTTTCACTCCTTTCCATATTTCTGGAAGTGTGTCCTTTTTTTTTTTTAAATTTTTCCTTTTTTGGCTAGGCAATGGGCTTAACTGACTTGCCCAGGGTCACACAGCTAGTTAAGTGTTATGTGTTTGAGGCCGTATTTGAACTCGGGTCCTCCTGATTCCAGGGCCGGTGCTTTATCCACTGCGCCACCTAGCTGCCCCTGGAAGAGCATCCTTTAAGGACCAGCTGGGCCCTTTCCCTCCTCCAGCTACAAGGCCCTGGGAGGTAGGTGTCAGTCACAGAATCTCAGAACCTTGGAGCTCAAAGGGACCTCAGAAACCATCTCAGCCAGCCCATAACTGAGTAAGAGTCTCCTCTGTAACACAGTACAGTTAACACTTCCAGCCAAGCAAACTCACCACCTCCCAAGGCAGCTCATTCCACTTTGGTATAGCCCAATCAGGAAGTTTTTCTTTACATCAAACCTCAATTTGCCTCTCTGTAATCCCCCCACCCATTACTCTTAGCTCTCTGGACAACACTGCTCTTGAAAGCTCTTGGGAAATCTGGGGAGGAAACCGCTCTATGGACAAGGAGGTGCCTAGTTGTTTCGGGGCCTGTGGAAGGAACCATAGCCATTGTGCCTTCCTCCCCACCCCATATCCCATCCCCACACCTCAGCCACTACTTAAAGCTTGTACCAACCAAACTCCCAGAAAAACCTAGGCAAAAACCGAGGCAAAATCCAGCATGTTGTCTGCAGAATCCAGGACCAAGAAGTGCTCCAGTGAAGCCCAATCTTGACCCTCCACCCAGCCTCCCCAGCTCCTGAACACTCTCTTTCTCCAGCATCCGTACCCCTCCCTACATCCCTCCTTCCCTCCCTGAGGTGCCAGAATCCACGGGGAGGAGCCAGACCCAAGCGGCCCAGGGTTGGGGATGGGAGGGAGGAGAAATCCAGGAAGATCAGCCAAATGATTACATGTCACAGAAGCCGCTGTCATCTGAGCACTCTGCGGTCTTGAAGGGGATTGCCTGTTTTGCCCAGCAGGACCCAGATTCTTTGGTTTGTTCTTCATAGGACCTGGATGTAGCAGGAAGGGCATAAGGAGGATGAGCAGTAGGGAAAAGGGGGTCAGTGCTAAGCAGAAAGGTAGGCATGGTAATGATGGGGTTGGGATCCAGGCCCCAGAAAGGAACAACCCTGGACTTTCTCACATGGCCAAATCACTGGCTTCACCTGAGGCTATAATCCCATCAACTGGCCTTTCATTGTGGCTACACCCAATCTCCCAATTCTGTTAACCTAGCCTGGCCTTCCTTTGTCTTACCTGCTTATGGCCCCCAGCCATTTCCCACCCTTAATCCTAGCTAGCCTCCTTTCTCCCTTGGCCACGAGGTCCAGGTCCCAGGAGTTGTGTTCACCCCAGTTTACTGGCCACTCCTAGGGCCCTCCCACAGTCTTTCTGTATATAAGGTCCACCTTGTCTACATTAAGCTGCTCTGATTCTTATAATCTAGCCACTGCTTAGATTCTTATAACCTAGTTTACTAGTGTTCAGACACCTTAAGAGTGCCCGATATGATGAATGTTCTAATAAACCTTGTCTTTGGCTGAAAGAAGGCTTGGGTCTAATTCTTTCGGGCAGGACCCACATGTTGTGATTTTGGGGTCCCAGCACCCCTGTGCCCCTAAACTGCATCAGTAACCTGTAGGGATGCACAGGCAAAGAGGACAGCTGTGAAGCTGCTATCTTGTTTCCTGTTAGTAATTGTTTTTTTCAGTCATTTTTCAGTTGTGTCCAACTCTTCATGACCCCATTTGAGGTTTTCTTGGCAAAGATATTGGAGTGATTTGCCATTTCCTTCTCCAGCTCGTTTTACAGATGAGGAAACTGAAGCAAACAGGGTGAAGTGACTTGCCCAGAGTCACACTGTTAGTAAGTGTCTGAGGCTGGATTGAACTCAGGAAGATGAGTCTTCCTGACTTCAGGCCCAGCGCTCTATGCACTCCTTGCACCTACCTGCCCCAGTAGACAGTAAACCCAAGGGCAAAGAGTGTGGCTCTTAGATCATTGGTTTAGAGCTGGAAGGGCTCTTAGAGAAGATCTAGTCCAATTCCTTCCTTTTACAGAGAAGGAAACTGAGGCTGAGCAAGGAAGTGACATGCCCAAGGTCACCCAGCTAACAGAACTGCGATTTGAACCACCAACTCAAAGTCTTAACTCTTCCACATAATACCATCTGAACTTTGTGTGCCGGAAAACCAGTATATGGGTCTTCCCTCGTACTAGCTGAGGGGCAGAGGTTGCAGGATCTATCCCTATTAACTAATCTCTGTGCTTGGGCACATGGTCCATGGGAAATTTGCACTTTTTGCATGTTGAGAGTGTGGGTGTGGGGTAGAGAGAGGGTGATGCTGGGTAGTAGGAGAAATAAGTTCCAGTGGCTCTCTATCTCCAGGACCAAATGCAAAATGCTCTGTTTGGCATTCAAAGCCCTTCATAAACCTTCCTACTTTTCCAGTCTTCTTATGCCTTACTCCCTGACATGTATTCTCCATCCAGTGACATTGGCCTCCAGGCTGTTCCATGAACAAGACACTCTATGTCTCAGCTCTGGGCATTTTCTCTGGCTGTCCCCCACGCCGGGAACATTCTCCCTCCTTTGCTCCAGCTATTGCCGTCCTTGGCTTCCTGTAAATCTCAATAAACTCCCACCTTCTACAGGAAGCCTTCCGTCACTCCTCATTTCCAGTGCCTTCTCTCTGTTACTTCCTATTTATCCTATATATATATACATAACTTGTTCACATATATAATTTGTTTGCATGTTGTCTCTCCCATTAGATCGTAAGCTCCTTAAGGGTGGGGGCTATCTTTTGCCTCTTTTTTGTATCCTCAGTGCTTAGCACAGTGCCGGGCACATAGTAGATGCTTAATAAACGTTTACTGATTGCCCGGAGATCTAGTGTTCTGCAGTGCTGCCTTAGCCTGCTGGGTACAAGTCAGCTTAACCTAGACCCAGTGACTGCTCACCCACTCTACAGTATAGGGATACAGGTGGTTCTGGATACTCACTTTCCTTGTTTGGGATTATAGGAAGCCTTGTCTCCAACCGTCCCTTGTATATATGTCCATCCAGGCCCAAGATGTCCACCTCATGCTGCAAGGACATACCTTCATCACCATGATAGTGCCTAGGACTTCCCATCCTCAGGCTGCCAACTTGTGTCAGTCACACATATCTACATCAGGAGTTCTTACCCTTTTTTTGTGTCATGGACAAAAAAACTCTATGGACCCCTGTTCAGAATAATATTTCATATGCACAAACCAAAATATACAGGATTACAAAGGAATTCAATAACAGTGATATATAGTTATACAAAATGTTTTTAAAGTAAGTTCATAGACCCTAGGTTAAGAACTCCTGGACTAGGGGCAGCTAGGTGGCAAAGTGAGTCAGGAGGACCTGAATTCAAATCCAGCCTCAGACACATGACACTTACTAGCTGTGTGACCCTGGGCAAGTCACTTAACCCTGATTGCTTCACCAAAAAGCAAAAAAAAAAAAAAGAGCTCCTGGACTAGAGGAAGGGTAGGGACGCTGTAGGGACCTCCCTACAACTCTCTCCTCACCCTTCCCTTCCACTCCATGAACAAAGTCATCTGTATGGCCTCAGGAAAACATGTGCCAGAGTGACAAGGGAGATGAGAACTTCCTGTACGTGAAGCCTAGGAGACACAAGAGCTTTGCGTACCTTAAGGTCTATGGTTCTAAGGCAGGTAAGTCCTGTCTCCCCTTGCCCCCTTCCTGTGCAGTTCCACCTAGTTAATGCCCCCATACCTTCAAGGAGGGCTGTGTATCTTCTGTAGGGTAGACACACTGAGCCAGGTGCTGTAAGCGAGCGTAGCGGCGGTAGGGGAAGGTAAGTGTATGGCTACCACCACAATGACGTGGCACTGACATGTAGGAGTAGTCTGGCATATCTTGAAGCCTGCGAGAGACGATACCCATGGGGTCACAAGGGAGTCATAAGCAGGGTGATGGAGCAAGATGTACTGCTCGCCCCACAGGGGCGGAAGGAGATGAGCTGAACAGCTCTCTTTGGGGAGTCAGAGGCTGATGGCTACTCTATGTTCCCCTCCCAGTAGAAGGGATTGGCAGGAGGGACAAAAAGTATAGCACAAAAAGGACCATGGCCCAGTTAGAAGAGCTGTGGTCAAGAAACATGGTGAACTAGGGACACGCACACTAGTTATTTATATATATATTTTGCCTTTCTTTGTATCTTCAGCACTTAGTACAGTGTCTGGCACATAGTAGGTGCTTAATGTTAACTGGTTGACACCACCCAAACAAAAAAAAAAATGCATGATCAACATGAATCAACTACACACACACACACACACACACACACACACACACACACACACACACACACACATACACATACACCCCATATGGGAAAAAATGAGCAAAGAAAGCTAACTACATCCCAACCCTCTCCCTGTTATTCTGGACAGACACACAGATTTCAGTTTTTTCTCTTTCATTTTTTCCCCAGCAGCAGGATAGGGAGTAGGGCTATGGGGTCCTGACTGGTGAAAGCCATAACAAGGCCACAGTGACCAGTATAAGACCTTGTGTGTCTGGACATCTACCCAACAGCAGAACCCTATGGGATCAAAGGCTGAATAAGAACCTTGAGATGTCTGGAGCACTCCAGATACTTTATCAGAATGGCAAGGGTTATCCCAGGACTTTTGCCTCATCTCTAAGCACCCTCCTTCTAAACCCACCTTCTCGGGGTACAGGACTTGGGGTGGGGAGTGACCCTGCCTTCCCGTCGTCCATCTTACCTTTTGTAGTAGGAGGAACCCAGGCACTGGGCCTGGATCAGCTCCCGGATCATCTGGCTGCTGACCTTGACTGAGCCTCCAAAATGAATCTGTACCTTCTCTATGTCCATCAGCATCTTGGAGTGCATGGAATGCAGGCGGCCCACACTCCGTTCCAGCTGTCCCAGCTCTGATCGTTGGAAGGCAGTGCCCAACCTCATGCTGGGGGTGGTAGAGTAGAGAAGAGAGAAGGGCTGTTAGCCTCTGTCCTAAAGCAAATTGTGGGAGGTGCTCCAATTCCTTCACCCTATCCCTAACCAGAGCAGCAATTTCTGAGCCCAGGTTAGGGTTGCATTTCTGGATATTCCGTGTTCCTAGTTCAGCTCCCTGAAATTTCACCCAAACCCCAGAATAGGGAGATATTTCCTCTAAAAAACAGAGGCCTCTGTCAGAAACCCTCTATTCAATTCTATTGCATTCTCTTTCTTTACTGGAGACCTACTGTGTGCCAGGCACTATAGTTGGCAGTATGAGAGAGACAAAATAAAAACAAAAAGTCAGTAGAGTGGAAAGAGCCTTTTAAACAAGGGCAGAAGATTCTAGTGTCAGCTGTGTGATGTCGGACAAAGTTTTTTAACTTACTTCTTCTGGGTTGACTTTTTTTATCCGTAAAGGGAGGCTAATAGCTCACATTTCTCCGCTGTTTTAAGGTTCTCCTTACCAAGTGTCCTTCCTACAACAACACAGTACAGGAGGTAGTTCGTACTCTTTCAGGGCCTATTTTCCAGGGTGGTTGTGAGGATTGGATGAGCTAATGTAGGAAAACAGTTTTGTTTTCTAAAATGCAAGGGAAATTGAGTTGTTGTGGTTATTAGTCCACTATTCAAATATTCTCTGTTTGAGAAGGCAAGGCACAGAAGAAATAACTGGATACTGATACATATTCAAACATGGAAAGCTCCATTATTGACTCAGTGACAATCCTCCACTTTAGCCAGCAACCCCTATGACTTCCTTGGGCATTTCTTGTCCTCATTTCCCCTATCAGCCCTCTGTAGAAGATCCACCTGTTGTCCTAGAGGTCTTTCTTGTTTTCTCTTCATTGTTTTTTTTGGGGGGGGGATCAATTTTCCATTTTTATTGTCATCAAAAGAAAGAGGAAAGAACATAGCACAAGACAGGTTACCATAAGATGTTACATTTAATATAATTGGTCCAGAAGACCAATGACGAATCACACTGTCTCCTAACAGAGGTGACAGACAAGATACAAAGAAACATATTTTTTGGACGTGGCCAGTGTAGGAATTTGTTTTGCTTGACTGTGTTTTTTGTTACACGTTTTTCTTTTCTTTTCTTTCTTTTTTTTTTTTCCCCAACAAGGAAATGGAGGTAGCAGGGAGAGAAAAGAGATTTTGTTTTTGTTGTTGTTCATTGAAAACCACTCAATTTCATTTAAAAAATAAATTTAATGTCATGGGGTATCACAGCAGAGAGGGAGTATTCTATAAATGTTTGTGAATGAATAAACTGACTGAATGTATCACGATTTGGACAAGGTAAAAAGCATACACTGAGGCCCACTGTATATTCTGCAAAAGAAAGCACTGGTCATAGTCCAACATCTTATACCCTATACCAAGATAAAATCAAAATGGGTATATGATTTAAATATAAAGACTGATACTATAAGCAAACTAGGAGAGCAAGGAATAGCTTACCTATCAGATCTATGGTGAAGGGAAGAATTTATGACCAAACAAGAGATAGACAACATTATGAAATGCAAAATGGATGACTTTGATTACATTAAATTGAAAAGTTTTTGCACAAACAAAGCCAATGCAACCAAGATTAGAAGGGAAGCAGAAAGCTGGGAAACAATTATTACAGCCAGTATCTCTGATAAAGGCCTCATTTCTAAAATATATAGAGAACTGAGTCGAATTTATAAGAATACAGGTCATTCTCCAATTAATAAATAGTCAAAGGATATGAACAGGCAGTTTTCAGAGGAAGAAATTAAAGCTATCTGTAGTCATATGAAAAAATGCTCTAAATCACTATTGATTAGACAAATGCAAATTAAAACAACTCTGAGGTACCACATCACACCTATCAGATTGGCTAACACAACAAAACATGAAAATGATAAATGGTGGAGAAGATGTGGGAAAAATTGGAACATTAATGCATTATGGATGGAGTTATGAACAGATCCAACCATTCTGGAGAGCAGTTTGGAACTATGCCTAAAGGGTTATAAAAATGTGCACACTCTTTGACCCAGCAATACCACTTCTAAGTCTGTATCCCAAAGAGATCATACAAATGGGAAAAGGACCCACACGTACAAAAATATTTATAGCAGCTCTTTTTGTGGTGGTAAAGAATTGAAAATCGAGGGGATGCCCATCAATTGGGGAAAAATAGCTGAATAATAATAATATTAATAATGATAATAATAATAATAGCTGAACAAGTTGTAGTATATGAATGTAATGTAATACCATTGTGCTATAACAAATGATGAGCAGGCAGACTTCAGAAAAACCTGGAAAGACTTACATGAACTGATGCTAAGTGAAATGAGCATAACCAGGAAAACATTGTACACAGTAACAGCCACATTGTGGGATGACTGACTTTGATAGACTTAGCTCTTCTCAGCAATGCAAGGATCTAAGACAACTCCAAAAGACTCACAATGGAAAACCCTATTCACATCCAGAGAAAGAACTATGGATTCTGAATGCAGATGGAAGCATACTATTTGCTCTCCTTTTCTTTTATTGTGTTGTTTTGTTGCTTCTTTCTCATGGTTCCTCCCATTAGTTCTAATTCTTCTTTACATTATGACTAATGTGAAAACATGCTTAATATGAATGTGTAAGTAGAGCCTATATCAGATTGCATGCCATCTTGGGGAAGGGAGAGAAGAGGGAGGAGGAGAAAATTTAAAACTCAAAATCTTATGGAAGTGAATATTGAAAACTAAAAATAAATTAATTAATTTTAAAAAAAGAAAATAAAAAAAGAAAGCGCCAGTCATGGAGTCAGGAAACCTGGGTTCAAGTCTCAACTCAGCCACTTAACCATTTACGTGATCTTGAGATAGTCACTCTACCTTTGTGGTCCTCAGTTTTCTTATTTGTAAAGTGGGGATAATAATACCTGCTCTGCCTTCTTCACATAGCGTGAATCAGATGAGCTAATGTACCATCATCAATTATTAGATCTAAAAGGGACTTCAGAGATCCCCTAGTCCAAATTCCACCCATCCCTCTCACCTACTTAACAGATGAAGTAAGGTATAATGATTAAATAATTAATACTATGGGGAGTCTAGAGAGTGACAGATTGGTATTATGGGGATTTCCCAATGGCAACTTTGTGCTCCAGCTAGAACTGTCTCCTCATCATCCCTGAAACACTAGCTTCCTGACCTTTGCTTGTGCTATCTCACCTGAGTGTGCCTACCCTCTTCAGTTCATGTAACTCGTCCTCCGAGGGAGCTAAGACTAACAAAGACTCACCTCTTCCATAAAGCCTTCCCTGATCACTGGCCAAGAGGGATGACCCCTCTATTCTCCAATTCTCTTTGTACTACCCAACATTACACTTAATCAGATCCTATCCAATGTTATTATTTCAGTGTGTGTGTGTGTGTGTGTGTGTGTGTGTGTGTGTGTGTGTTTTCCCAAGTTGATTAGAAATTGATTGATTTGAGGGATGATGTCATTTACTTCCCTAATATCTGAGATCACCTAACACAATGCTAATGGAATAACTAACCTACAGGAACTCAATGCTTGTGTGAACTAAATTGAATCTTTTTTTTTTTGAGGCAATTGGGGTCAAGTGATTTGTCCAGGGTTCCACAGCTAGTGAGTGTCAAGTGTCCAAGGCTAGATTTGAACTCAAGTCCTTCTGAATACAGGGCTGGTGCCCCTATCCACTATGCTATTTAGCTGCCCCTAAATTGAATCTTTTAATGCCTCCAGCCTTAGTCATAGCTAGCAACCTTTTCCTCCTTGCTCCTTGAGAGTACGGTCAAACTGCACATACTTCAGCATAGGCCTACCTCAACTTGTCAATGGCTAATTTAAGTGTGACTCTTCCTGTTAACCAGGATTTTAATTCTAAAATGTGAACTGAGCCCCAATCATTAGCCCTACTGACTCCCAAACCAGTTATACTTATGGAGGTTGGGGGAACCAAGTTATAAGCCCTGGGACTTTCAGCAGAGCTCCAGAGGCCCCACACAAGGGATGGTAGCTCCCCATGACCTCCAAGATGAAGTAGAAAATCTTCTGTTTGGCTTTTAAAGCCTTTCATAATCTGGCCCCTTCCTATCTCTCTAGCCTTCTTTCTCTCTCTCTCTCTCTCTTTTTTTTTTTGGTGAGGCAATCGGGGTTAAGTGACTTGCCCAAGGTTACTCAGCTAGTAAGTGTTAAGTGTCTGAGGCTGGATTTGAACTCAGGTCCTTCTGACTCCAAGGCCAGAGCTCTATTCACTGTGCCACCTAGCTGCCCCCCCCAGCCTTCTTTCTCTTTAAGGACCTCTGTGACCCAGTAGGGCCAGCTAGGTGGTGCAATGGATAGAGAGCTGGGCTCATCTTCCCGAGTTCAAATCCCACCTCAGACACTTATTAGCTGTGTGACCCTGGGCAAGTCACTTAACCCTTTTTTCTCAGTTTCTTCATCTGTAAAATGAGCTGGAGAAGGAAATGACAAACTGTTCAGTACCTCTGCCAAAAAACAAACAAACAAGAAACCCAAATGGAGTCACAAAGAGTTGGACATGACTGAAAAATGAATGAAAAAAAAATGTTACCCAAGGGCAGCTAGGTGGCAGAGTGGATACAGCAACAGCCCTAGAGTGAGGAGGACCTGAGTTCAAATCTGGCCTCAGACACTTGACACTTACTAGGTGCGTGAACCCCAATTGCCTTGCCAAAAAAAAAAATGTGACCCAGTAACACTGGTAGGCATTTCATCTCCCAGTATACTCTCTCCCCTCTCACCTGGCTTCCCTGATTGAGCTCAAATCCCATGTCCTAGATTGGACTGCCTGTGCCTTCCCTTTGAGATTACTTTGCATTTAAAATCTATGTATTTTGTACATAGTCATATGCCTGTTGTCTCCTCTATTAGAATGTGAGCTCCTTGAGGGCAGGGATCATGTTTTGCCTTTCTTTATAAACTTGCTGCTTAGCACAGTGCCTGGCATATAGTAAGTGCTTAATAAATGCTTGTTAATGGATCCCTATAAATGCTTGTTTATCTGCCCCCCCCATGCTCAGTTTCCCTTCCCCCCTCCCATAACTCTATCGCCCCAAATGATGGGTTTAATTGTAACCCAAGGTGTATAAATGAGTATGCGGGAGAAGCCTGGGTAGGACTTAGCCTTAGCAGAGAATGGACCATAAAGAGAGGTCCTGTAGGACCTGTAGCTAGATATCTGGGGAGGGGCTGGATTAGGGAAACTTTCCACTTCTTTAATGATTCAATCATTTCTGGCTCTCCAGGCCTCATCCCCATGAAGCAACAAATCCTTTGACCCAATTCCAAAATACTTCCCCGAGTCTCTCCCCCAGGCCTCTAGAAAGGATTCTCCCTCTGATAGCCCCATCCAAAGCCCCTTCTTCGGGCAGAGCCGTTCCGTACTTGCGGCTTTGCTGCCGGACTTGCTCCAATTCGTAGATGGTATAGGGACGGTTAGAACGATGTGCTGGCAGTCCTGGGCCACCCGGCACTGAGGGGATGATCCTGTCCATGGGGAGGGCGAACAACATATGAGAAATCCAGACGACCTGAAATCCACTCACGGTTCCCACAACCCTTGCAAGTTCACTTGGCAGGAGGTGGGGAGGGGGGAGTGAGCGCTCTGCTCTATTATGTTATTCATCTATTCTTCTAGACAATTTGTATCCTGTAATGATGGGTAAAGGCCATGTCTTTTCTGACATGGGGTACTATCTCTGTCTCAAGAGCCATCTTGGATGGTGGTGCAGTTGGCCTTTACCATTCTGGTCCTCTCTGTCTTGTCCGTTTTATGGCTGTGAGAGTGGCTAAATAACCCACCCCAGAGATGTTACTCATGGCTTGGACTTTGCCTAAGAACTTGAACAAATATCCAATAAAGCCCTATTTCATTAAAAAAAAAAAAAGCCCCTGGCATCCCCTAAAAGATCATTTCTTCCCTATACCCTCATCCATCTGCTTAATGCACCTTCCCAGGTACAGGGAAGGAGATGGTCTTCACACCAGGTATAAATGTGTAAATAATAATAATGACAATAATTTATATAGTACTTTAAGGTTCATAAAGCATTTTACATTTGTCTCAATATGGGAGCTGGAAGGAAAAGCTGGAGACAGAAGAGAATGAAGAGAGGAGAGTAAGGGAGAGTTAAGGAATTGGGAAGACATCCCTCCTTCCCACAAAGGAGGTGTGTAACAGGGTGGGGTGGTGGTATATGGCACTCACTGTCCAGTTATAGCTGTTTCCAAGGGCCGGTTGCATGAGAGACAATGGAAATGTGCCAAAACCTGCCTATTGGGATAGAAACTGAGGGTAAATTCTCTTGCACATCACATTATGTGAAAGACAAAAAACACTGGCAGGATTTCCTATCCACACTCCAAGAACAGTGCTGAACCCTGGGACAAGAAAGCAGAGAGCAGACAAGTTGGAAATTAAGCCTATATAAGAATAACCCTCATCCCAGCCCTGGAGGACATGCTAGAGATCAGGGTAGGTGGCATCTGCTTATACACAAGATGGTCACATACACAAATGTGTATACACACATCTGTGGCATTTAAAAAATCTGAAAGGCATAGTTTCTGGGTAATTTTATCATTTTATTAATAAGGCTAGCTTGTTTATTAATCAAACGAGGACAGTGAAACTCTCGAATGCCAAAGACACCTTCTGGCTGTGAGCTCTAAGTTTATATGCCCTTGGAAGAGTGGGTGTTTCTGAGGGTGGCAATCAACTCTGATCGGTTAACAAGTGATAAGAAAATTAATATTATAATAGGAAGTAGGCTATAATACAATGAGGATCTTGGGGTACATCACTTGGATCCCCCAAATCTTGGTCAAAGAGACTTATCTATTTCCATATCACCTGTCTGACAAAAAGGACAATCCACATTTTCCCAGACCTGTTTGTGTAAATACAATGAGCAGGAAACTTCCCATTAGCCTAAATTTAGAATTTCTTTTACTGTCTTTGAGAAAGATTTCCCACACTGGTTGATTTCTGGATGAGGAAGTAGAAAAGGAGAAAAACCTTGGTCTTGATTCAATAATTAGTCATTAATACAAGAAAGAAATAATCATTTCTCTCATATCCATAAACAACTATACACTCCAGTAAATTCACATTCACATATGTACACGTCAGTCAGATTTCTCTCTGCGGGTGCCACATCTTCTTTCTGATTTTCAGATCTCTCTCAGGTAGTGATCGGTGGATTCTTTCAACTTCCATTTTACCTTCCAGTTCTAGGACACTGGGGCAGTTTTCCTTCATAATTTCTTGGAATAGGATGTCTAGGTTCTTTCTTTGATCATGGCTTTCAGGTAATCTAATAATTTTAAAATTATTTCTCCTTGACACATCTTTTCTCCCAGAAAGAAAAGCGGACTGACGAAGGAGAGGTCTGCCCTAGCTCATCCCCGCTGGGACCTAACGTGCTCTCTGCATATTTGGGAACTGTGCTTACCTAGGGTATCTATAGATTCACAGGTGATTTGCTGGTGCCCTCTAGTGGCCCACCACAGAAGCTGGGACCTGGGCTCTGTTACCTTTCAGGTTTCCCGGGGCATCATATTTATGATTTTGAAGGATAATAGTCTCTCCTGCTAGGGTTCTCCACTTTAACCCCACTTATGCAGGGAGGTAGAGCCGTGCCCCAATATCACCACGCCTTTGGTGGCTCTGGATATCTAAATGCGCCCTCCTACTCTTTTTTTTTTTTTGCTAGGCCATGGGGTTAAGTGACTTGCCCAGGGTCACACAGTTAGTGTGTATTATGTGTCTGAGGCCGGATTTGAAGCTCTCCTACTCTTCTAGTACAGTTAAGTACAGAGAGAGCCTGGGGAGTGGAGCCCACACACATATCCAACTCTTTCCTGGGGTCTTATAGGGGTGGCAGAATTGAATTGCCTCCCTCCCCTCTCCCAGAGTAAGGGAGTCCACTGACCACTCGGGGTTAATTGCTCCATCATGTGGTCTTGCCACTGGCTGGCCGTGCTCCCCGGGCCTCCTTACCTTCATCTGTGCCAGGCCATTCCAGCTCTCCTCCCCACCCCACCCCACCCCCACCCAAGTGTGATCTCACAGTGTCTGACCACCCAGCTCACCTCCGCATGGTGGCAGCTTCGTCAGACTGATAGAGAGGGGACTGATCCTTCAGCTGCTGTCGTAAGGCTTTCCACCTTTCCTCCAGCATCTTCTTCACGGGATCTAACTCTAGGCGATCCAGCTTACTCGGGGAGAAACAAGGATCCGTGTTTAGGAGGGTGTGGATGTCCAGGGAAACAGAAACAAGAAGCTAGCCCTGAAGGAAAGGGGAAGGCGTGGGGGAACAATGCTAAGCCAGGACCCACCTCACCAGAATAGTAGAAGACCCTCGGCGTGGAGAGGAAGACTATTCAATATATCTATCTGGGCACAATTTCTTTTTTCCAGTTTGTTCTCCCCTCAAGCCATCTAAAGATGGACAGACTCGAGCCAGCTAGGTGGCGCAGTGGATAGAGCACCGGCCTTGAAGTCAGAAGGACCTGAGTTCAAATCTGGCCTCAGACCAAACACTTGACACTTACTAGCTGTGTGACCCTGGGCGAGTCACTTAACTCCAATTGTCAAAAAAAAAAAAAGATGAACAGACTCCTGACGCCTCACCATCTTCATCTGCCCAAGTACCCTCAGGGAGTAGGTACCCAAGTATGCCAACCCCAAAGTAAGTCCCTCACCTTGGTATCCATTTCTACCAGGAGCTTGTCCAGGACCTTCTTCCAGTCCTTCTCCTGTCCAGTCATCTTTGTCAGCAGATCCTGCATCATTTGGTTCAGCTGCTCTGTGGTGGCATCAAACTGGATTCGGCTCACTTTGGCCGCGAGAGCAGTCTTATCTGCTTTCTGTCTCAGGAGAGACGAAGGAGGTGGCTGCATGTCTTCACAATGGAGGCACCCTTCATTGAATTTGTCTCTCTGGGGATATCTTCCATCCCAATTGCCCACCTGATATCCATCCCTGGCACCAACCAATGTCTCTTTGATCTATATCTCTCCCATATGTCCCCCCACCTCACTCCTACCCCAAATGCATTTCATAGAATTAGCTGGAACAACAGGCCTGTTCCACAAATGTATCTTATGTGTGCATGGCCTCTCACCACATCAATCTCCATCTGCAAGTGTTCCCTGTTGGCTTTCTCCTTTTCTAGCTTCTCTAGGGACTGGTACAGGACCTGGGTGAGAGGTTGAGAGGGATACAGACAGAAATAAAAGTGTCGGACGTAGTGGGATGAGTTGGGGAGGGGAGACTATGTCAAGAGTAGAGATAATTTTGAGCCCAGGACAAAGACTTCCATTCCACTCTGAAGCAGGGTGGTGGAAGGAGGTAGAGGACCTCAGATGCCATTTTGAAGCTTAAGATGATACCTCCTCCCACCTCACCAGGAACCAGCCGGGCCAGACCTGGGGTTTGCAGACATCATGCACTTCTAGCCTTTTCCCCTTCTCATTCCTGCCCCTTCCTCCCAGCACAGCCCAAACCTCACATCAATGTCTTTCTGCTTTTGCCTGTGGTCCTCAATGAGATTGCCTGTGGTGATGTTAAGTTTCTCACAGTCACCTTGCACCTGAAGGATAGTGGTCTGGATATGACCTAGTAACTCTTCATCCTGAGGCAGGAGGAGGAAGAGAAGGAAAGGGAGGACAAAAGGAAGCCCTTTTGAGGTTGGTGGCATGACCCTTCCCCTCCCCACAAACTCATAGGCCCTTCTTCCAGGATATATCGAAGTCTCAAGCCAAGTCACATAAAATGGACAAGAGCCTAGTAAAGAACTGAGTGACCCCAGGGGATGGACTGGAGAAACACTGGGTAGTTGTATTTTCCTGGTGTAGTTTGAGGGATGACTCTTGCTCTTCCTCAGCATGCCCTCCCCCCAATCTAGAGTTACCCCAGGTAGGCAGAATCTCTACCTAAGGACCTAGCACTCAGGAAATGTGTGTTCCACAGGTGGGAGGGTAGGTCCCCACCAGCTCTGTTTATTGCATGGAATCTCGAGTTTCTGAATTAATCAGTACAGATAATGTAACAGGGGAGGTGTGGTTAGTGCCTGTTTACTCATTCATTCAACTCATTTATTCATTTAACAAGCATTTATTAAACTGTCCCTGCCCGCAGGATGCTTCCATTCTACTGTAAGTGGAAACAACATGTTAGATAAGTATGTACAACATATCTTCAGGGGCAGCCAGGTGGCACAGTGGATAGAGCACGGGCCCTGGAGTCAGAAGAACTTGAGTTCAAATCCAACCTTGTACGCTTGACACTTACTAGCTGTGTGACCCTGGGCAAGTCACTTAACCCCAGTTGTCTCACCAAAAACAACAACCACACACCAACGTATTTGCAAAGTAAATATCAAGTAATATTTGGGGGTGGGGAGTTCCTAACAACTGAGGGGATCAGGATAGGCCTCTTCTAGGATCTTTGAAGTGAGACAATGTGGATATATAATGGAAAGAGCACTCGTTTTTGAGGCGGTTCAAATCTCCTTTCTAATGTATATTATCTGTGTGACCTTAAGCAAGTCACAGAACCCAAATAGGTCTCAGTTTCCAAGTCTATAAAATGAGACGGACGGTAGGACTAGATGGTTTCTGAGGTCCCTTCCAGCTTACTTGGTCTTTGGAAACAGAGACTCCATAGGTGAAGAAGAACTGAACTCCAGGCGTCCCTTTGAGGGACGACTCAAAGGCATGGTGATAGGAGATGACATGTGTGAGGACCAGCAAGAAGGCCAGGTTAGCTGGACTATAGAGTGTATGAAAGGGAGTCATGTCTAATAAGCCTGGAAATGATCGAGGACCAGAATATGAAGGGATTCAAGTGTGCCAAGCAGAAAAGTTTGTATTTTTATCCTGGAGGCAATAGGGAGCCCCTGGGTCTTCTTGAGCCGAGGAGTGACTACTGGTCAGACCTGTGCTTGAAAAATGTCAATTTGGTGTTTGTGTTGAGGATGCGTCCTCAGGGAAGAGACTGGATACAGGGAGAACAACTGGGAAGCTGTGGCAGCAGTCCAGGGGTTGACGCAAGGAGGATCTGAACGAGGGTGGTGGCCATGTGGATGGAGAGAAAGGTACGGACGCAAGGAACACAGAGGCAGAACTGCGAGGGAGGAACTGAGACTATACTCCAGGTTTTGAACCAGGGCGATTAAAAGGAATGGTGGTGTTCTGGACAGATTATAGGCAATTTAGGAAGAAGGTGTTTTAGGGCAGGGGGATAATGAGTTCTGTTTCATTCATATGGAGTTTGACTCTTTTTATTTATTTATTTTTTCGGGAGGGATTAAGTGACTTGTCCAGGGTCACATAGCTAGCGTCTGAGGCAGGATTTGAACTCAAGTCTTCCTGACTCCAGGGCTGGTGTTCTATCTACTGCACCACATAACTACCCCCCATATTGAGTTTGAGATGCCTATTCCCATTGGTGTTGTCCAATGGGCAGTTGGTGACCTGGATCTTTGGCCTTCCTCCCCGAACCTCTGCTAACCTTTCACTCTTTCCAAAAAAGTAGGTCCCTATCCTCTGGGAAGTATTGGGGAGGGAGAGTCATCGGTGCTCGGGTGCAGTTACTCTTAGGTGATGCCTGCTTCTTGGATTCCCACTAGAGGGCGAGGTGGAGCTTTGAAGAGTTTAGACGGGAGGGGGACCGCAATCTGGAGCCCTGGAACCTCATTCCCTAGCGTGCCTATCCCAGTACAGGAGATGGTCCAGCCAGACCGACCTGATTTTGGAGCTGATACTTCTTAGAGGGCCGAGATATTATCAGATTGTTGACCATATCCTGGAGTTGCTCGTAGCGCTGCACTAGTCTGCTGACTTGTTGGCTCAGGTCTAGGCTACACGCTGGACAGGTAGCGTGCGGGTCAACTTCGGCTGGGTTCAAGAGGGCTGGAGCCTTAGGCGGCGCCATGCTCATGGCCAGAAGGGTGGACGACGAGGTAAGCATGCTTTCTATGATCAGCCTGAGCTTGTCTAACTGCATATCAAAGAAAAGCAGGTTGGGGAGAGTTTTCAGGGTGGCGTGAAACAAACCAATCAGAAGAGTTCTTTGCATAGGCGTGGCCTGAAGGCCTTCTCTGCCGGGTCGTGGGGTCCGATGCAAAGCTCTACTTTCCTCAGTTAGACTTTATGGCAACCCTCCCGACACATGTCAATGTCTTGGGCCCAATCTGTGGCTCTAAAAGACATCTAAATTCTGAATTAGACTATGAGATGACACCAGATTCTGTAGGGCATACAGGTGTCAAGTGATCCTGTTGGTGAATGAATGGCAATTACAGACAGAGCTCCAGAGTCACATTGCCCTAGGGAATTTGGGAATAGACCTGAAGGTCTGGGCTACAAGTCTCAGGGGAGGTGAGAGGTGTTGGAGGGGCAGTCAAAATGGGATTGCCTCCTTCCACTCAGAAGCTTCCCCCAACAGTTCCAGAGACAGAGGGCTCCACAAGAGTTGCCCTTGTTCCATAGGGTCTCTCCCCACTGGACAAATAGGTATTGGAGGGGAATGCATCCTCCATTTTAAAACAGGCCCTGAAGATCCATTCACATTATCAGCCAGTCCCTATATCACCCTAACCCGTACATCTTACATGGCTGATGAAGGGACCTTTGTACGGTCTCTCTTTATCTCAAACCTGTACTTATGACAGCTTCTAGGTGGGGTGGACAACTGGCACTGGGTAGATACTGTGTGCTAGGCTGGTCAGTACAAGACGAACCTAGGGAAGGCCCTGTGGTCAGTAAGACAGCATCGGGGCATGACTAGAGATGGGTTTGCTTCTGTGTTGTGGTCTTATAACTAGAAGCCAGAGGACTCTTAGATGTGACTTCCCCAGGAAGGGTAGCAGAGAAATGGAGACTTGGTCTCTGGTACTTAGCAGGAAGGAGGCCTGCTCTCCCCTTCTCTGGTCAACTCCTGGGCCCAGGGCCCAGCTCCCTCACCTGTTCCTGTAGATAAAGGGTGGCTTCGGTCACTGACTGTTCCACGATGGCCTTGCCCTGCTCCTGCCGTTCCCTCAGTAGGGCCAGCTCCTTCTCTATGTCATTCACATTCGATCTGCGCCGCAGAACCAAGAGGATGATTACTTACTGCCAGCCCCCAAGTGACGAGTGCTAGGCATCAACACTCAGCTTTACTCAAGGGGTGCAGAAACCAGTTAGGGGGAACTGAGGTTTGGGGGAGTTGAATCTTTATTTTCTCTCCCCTCTAAAAAATTCCAGCTCCAGTTCTGGCGTACTTGTAGGGAAAATCAAGCTCTCTCCTCAGCTGGTCATTGTGATGACTGGGACAGACGCCCACTCAGCCAGCTTTCGAGATCTCCAGCCTGCTAGGACTAGGAATTGAAGAGACAAGGAGTGTGGAGTCATTGGCACCTCCCGGCTAGGATCTGAGAGGCTTTTCTCTCATATCCCCTGGGCATGTCTTCTAGGGGATCCTGGTGGATATCTGCGGGTTTGTTCTGAAGCCACCCAGCCTTATGGGTTGGCTATGGCAAGCTCCCAGGACATGAGACAGAGCCCACAGCCCAGATCAAGATGGGAAGAGACGGCCAGTCCAGGAATAGCTCCACTCATTCTTATAGCCTAGAAGACGGGTCTTCTCTTTCCTACCCTACCCACTCAATCTCACCTGTTTCCTATATATCCAAACATCAAACGGTCTTGAGCTCCCGGAGGGCCCAGCTTTTACCTGAGAATACTTAGCTGCAGACTCAGATGGCCAGACCTTTCTCTCTCCTCTTCAGCATCCTCCTCTTCTCCTGCTAGGATTTGCTGCATTAACTTCATCTGCAACCCCAATGGTTCAGCCGTTTCAGGCCTGAGTCTTCCCCCTCCCGGAAGTCTGGCCCAGGCTTCCCACTTAATAATGATAATAATAGCTGGGAGGTTAAGGGTTAGTTTTATAGGTGGGGAAACTGAGGCTAAGTGATTTGACTGGAGTCATACAGCTAGTGAATTTGTCTAAGCAAGATGGCTCTATCCACAGTGTCTCCTAGCTGCCTACCTCTCCTCCCTCCTGTGGACCTAGCCCAGGGACTTTGTTCTGAAATGCTTTTGACTATCCCCTTAGAATGGTGGGTTCTCAATGGATTTCAGGACAAATTGGGTAGCCCTGTGCTCACTCACTTTTTTCCTCTCCTCTTGAATTTCTTTGGTTAAGGCTTTAAGTCCATGTAGCTGTTGCAGCATGTCATCAGGGATGGTCTTACTGGCTATGGAAGAAGGCAAGTCAGAATTGTCAGGGTCTAAACATCTCTCTCTTCTCCTATTGGTAAATTCCTCCCTGGGCCTCCATTCTGGGGAGGGTCCTAGGTTAGACATCCTTCATTCCCCTCGAGGATTCCCAAACTTCCCCACCACACCCGAATGAAGCTCCCGTCCCCCAACCCTTTCAATCTCCCTTTGGTTTCTTATCTTCCCCATTTATAACCTAAATTCATTGAAGGCAGGGACTGTCTCTTTATATTTATATCTCTGGCACTTAGCTTTACCACTGGCCTGAGCTTCATAAATTCTTCTTGCCTGCCTGCTTCCACAATCCCCTCCCTTAACCAATGTGAAAAACTCTCCCTGGTGGGGAGATGAGAACAACATTGTTCTAAGTCTCCAGAAACTCTTCCTAAATAGCTCTCATTAGAATTTTTCTGGTTTGCTTTGGGGAGGTGGCCATCCCACCTACCTCAAATCTTAGGACCCAAGACCCTAAAGCCATGGATTAAGGAAGACTGAATTTAACCCTTTCGCTCTCCCTCACCCCAACTCTACACTATCTTTTTTTCTCTTCTCAATTTCCTTACCAAGCTTCTTAACCTGGGGGCTTGACAATGGCATATAAACTTCTCACTCCCCTACTGGGTCATTGGCCCCAACCCTGAGATCAGATGCAAATCTTGCTGATATTCCCAGTATATCTACCTAATCAGTCAAAAAGGTCCTATGGAACTATAACTAGGATAAGGTGATTGCAGCTATATCCCAGGATGCTGAAATTTAGAAGGCACTAAAAGCTCTTCCATTTCTTCACCAGGTAGAAACTGAGCTAAGCACCTAGTTAGCAAGAATTGTTAAAAACAGAAACCACCAGAACAAATTTTAAAATATGTTGGAAGCTACCAGAGGACAGACCAGTTCCTCCCCCTGCCTAGAGCCTGCTACTTCCCCTGGTGGTTGCCTCCCCAGCCTTTCATGCCACCTATCTCAGAACTACAGATTACAATTGGAGAACCCTGGAGGAAGGTATTCCAAAAAACCAAAGGGCAACGGGGATAGGAGACGGAAGATGGTTTGGTCAGGTGTGTGTGAGTATGTGTGTGAATGCAGAGGTTCAAGGCCAAGGAGCTGAGACTGGAAAGCAGAGACAGAGAGGTAAGACACTCACTTTGGTTTGGGTAGGCAATACCTACTTAATTTCCCTATGACGAACTGTAGCTTCTCCAGCTCAGAATGGCCAGCGTCTTCATCCAGTGACCCCATCTGCTCCTTCAGAATCAGGTAGTAGCTGGTAAGCTCCCCCATCAAACGCAGGGTCTCTAAGGCAAAGGGGAAGCTGAAACCCTCTCCTTCTTTGCTTTTTTGGCTCGGTGTTCGACGATGCTGGTATGGAGGTGCAGAGTATATATACGATGGGCTGGACCACGGTGGTTGTGGCCCCAAGGCAGGCGATGCGTAGGGAGGCTGGGGTGGTGTGTAGGGAGAATAGGGTGGCACAAAACTAGGCCGGGATTGGGAAGACAATTCAGTCTGAGTGCCAACTTGGCCCACAGGTTGTTCACTCGGGCTGGTGCCTGAGGCAACAAAGCCAGGCTGATCAGTGCCTGAAATTACAGAAGGCCCTGAGGGTACACCTCCAAGCTGAAATAATAATCTTTGGGTCTTACCAGGAGCAGCTGTTGGGGCTATGGTAGCTGAAGAAACTGTTTCTGGGGCTACAGGATACGGCCAGACACCTGGCTGATACGTGGGTGGGGGCACAGGACTTGGTGGATATTGGACTGGGACTCCAGGCCCTGGCAGATATGTGGGGGGCGTTCCATTGATCGGCTGATTAGCAGGGGTGGGCTGGTCTATGCGTGGACCTGCGAACGTTGACTGACCAGTTACTGGATCAATAGGGACTGGATGATCTGTAACTGGGGCTTCAGCACCTGGCAGATAAGTGGGTGGGGCTCCAAGCTCTGGCTGAGTGGCAAGTGGGGTTCCAGAAACTTGTGGGTAGGTGCCTGGGACTCTAGGATAAGCACCAGGGGCTCCAGGGTAGGCAACAAGGGCTCCAGAGGAGACTTCAGGGGCTCCAGGGAAGGCAACTGGGGCTCCAGGATAGGCGCCAGGGGCTCCAGGGAAGGCAACTGGGGCTCCAGGATAGGTGCCAGGGCCTCCAGGATAGGCACCAGGGGCTCCAGAGGAGGAGCCAGGGGCTCCAGGATAGGCCCCAGGGGCTCCAGAGGAGGTGCCAGGGGCTCCAGGATAGGCGCCAGGGGCTCCAGAGGAGGTGCCAGGGGCTCCAGGATAGGCTCCAGGGGCTCCAGGGAAGGCCCCAGGGGCTCCAGGGAGGGTGACTGGAGCACCAGGATAAGCTACTGGGGTGCTGGGTCCCGGCTGATAGTTGGGTGGGGTTCCAGGAATAGGCTGTGTAGGTGGGGTTCCAGGCACTAGAGGATAGATGGGTGGGGTTCCAGGAAGCGATGGATAGGTGGGTACGGCTCCAGGGGCTGACTGATAGGTGGATGGGGTTCCAGGGGCTGGCTGATAGGTGGGTGGGGTTCCAAGAACTGGTTGACCTAGGCCTAGAGCTGTTGCTATTTGCTGATCGGTTCCTGAGGTTACAGAGTCTGGCTGATCTATTCCTGGAGCGAGAGATGGCTGACGCACTTCAGTGGGTGGCTGACCTACCCCAGGGGCTAGCTGACCTATGCCTGGGGCAACTGGAGAAAACTGGGAAGTGCCCGGGGATGTAGGAGGGAGTGTGCCGCTAACTAAGGTTAGAGGGGATTGCTGTGCAGCGCCAGAGGGCAGTGGGATATGTTGTTCTGCGCCACTCTGCCTGGGTCCAGCAGCTCCCCGAAGTGGGGGCGGAATCTCTGTGCCAGACGGCATCTTCTGTGAACTTATTTTCTTCCCGGCTGGAGAAGCCTTCACAAGGGGCACATATGCTGCGGTAATTAGAGAGGTCTCTGAAGCCTTGTCCGCTGCCTAGTTAGAGGAGGAAGACAGAAGCGTGTGGTCCAAGTCTCCTGTACTGATCCCAGGTTGTGTGTTGGGGGAGATCTAAGGTCAATTTAGGGCATTGGTCGAGACAGAATCTCTGGGACCAAATCTCAGTGGGTCCCCGACGTAGGAAGGATGGAAATTTTATAATGTCTAATAAAACAGAAGAGTTAAACTCCGATCATATCAGGCCACTAGGGATTTAGAATAATACTGTAGATACACTCGGATCCCTTCAGAAACGGAACACCCCCCCCCCCCAAAAAAAACAAATGCGCAGGCCCATGTTGCTCTACTCTATTGGCTTTGAGAAGAGCCCACTCTAAGTCCTTTCCCAATTTTCCCCTAATCACCGTAGAGCTTCTCCGACCAGAAACTAGCGCTTGCTCCAAGTCTTCCCAGGTAACGATCGAGTTGTCTTCCGGGTACAGACTCATCTTTCGCGTTACGTTTTCCTGGTGGGGAAATGGTCACATCCTTGCAATCTGGGGGATCCTGTTTTCCCACAACCTGCTCTTGCCTTGCCTTAAACTACTCCAACCACCCCCCCACCCCCCCACCATTATCAAGCAAGCTTCAGACAGCTCCCTTCTTTGTTTCACTGCAGACCTGACTTGTAGCAGGTATAGATCTTAACCCTCCACCTTGAATTAGAAGCGAGAAGCTGGAGTAAGGAGTGACACCTTAGAAAGCATTCCTTTGGGTCCCGGGATAAGGACCCAGAATGCAGAGGACACTGCTAGTCCTGTTGTGATGAGATTGCGGAGAGGAGCCTGAGTGGACCATTAGAGGGAGGGCTGGATTATGAGTAATCCTGTCCCCAGTTCCAAGGGTCCCTTTTCCCTGTACTGGACAGAATGTTACCAAATTATTTTCTTGGTGATTGACTAGCTTCTCTAAATCTGTAATCCGTTCCTCCACATCTGTAATCATTGATTTGTAGTCTTTCAATGCCTGCAAAAACAAAAACAAAACAAAAACCGCTAAAAGGCATACCCTGAGTCAAGATCCCACTCTCCTATCTCTAGGACAGGGACAAAAAAAGGAGAGGAGTGTGTTAAGATCCCTATACAGGAAAAGTAAGAGGGGACCCAGAGGGGAAGGGTCCTAGCTAACCAAGAAAAGACAACCAAGTTCCTGCTCTCTGTTCTCATAGCCCAGTAAAAGGGAAATTTACTTTAGAGACAGGTGTCTAGAAGAGAGCTTGCAGAGGCAAGGGCAAATCCAGAACATCTTTTCAGTGTGTTGCCTCCATCCTGGCCTTGGCTTCATGCAGCCCCCAAACCAATCAACCAACCAACCCTTTCAAAGCCTCTTGGAAAGAGGGGACCCGAATCTCTCCAGGAACTTGGGAAGAGCAATTAAGAGCTTTAAGTTACCAAATGTTCTTTCTAGTTGATAACTCAAGTATTTAAATGGATACATACCTCTATTAATCCAGAGAAAAAATGTTAACCCCTCCCATCAAATTTTGTTGATGTTCATTCCTTTTCTACTCTTAGTGATGTCATTTGGGGTTTTCTTGGTAAAGATACTGGAGTGATTTGCTATTTCCTTCTCCAGAGCATTTTACAGATGAAGAAACTGAGGAAAACAGGGCTAAGGGATTTGTCTGGGGTCACACAGCCAGTAAGTATCTGAGGTCAGATTTGAACTCAGGAAGATGAGTCTTCTTGACTCCAGGCCCAGTACTCTATCCACTTTACCACCTAGCTACTTTCTTTTTTTTGTTTTTTGGTTTTTTTTGTGTTTGTTTTTGTTTTTTGGCTACTTTCTATTTATTGTGTGTTTACTGATCTTTGTAAATTGAGTTTCAGTTGTTTTCTGTCATTAGACTAAAACTTCCTTGAGGACAAGAGATTTTTGTTTTTGTCTTTTTTTATCTCTAGTACCTAATATCTAGTGCCAGGCACATAACTGATGCTTAATAAATTTTTGTTGAAGTCCTTCCTTCACACACTTGCAAAACCTTCAGAATTCCTCAGAGAAAATAACATTTTAATTCAGATATGTACTTTGAGGTTTAGAAATACAATAGTAGATAGAGTCCCTCAGCCATTTGAGGCTTTTTTTTTTCCGGTTGCTAACTTTCTCCAACCCCTTCAGAAATATGCTGTCTGGAATTTTATTTATTAGAAGTAAAATGATTGTTAAAATTAATTAAATTGTTAGAGAATTTCTCAATATGCCCTTACTATAATTCAAAACCAGTAGACGTCTTAAACTAAGAAAGACCTGAGTTTTCATATCTGTGTCTGTCTCTGACATTTACTCTCTCTCTGACCATGGACAAGTTATAACTTCACTGAGTCTTAGGTAAACTTAAACTTAAACTTAGGTATAACTTAGTTTGAAATCCCAGTGAACAGTAAGATGTAAGGAGACATAGCCATCTCTTCTTTCTTTTTTTTTTTAAATAACCAATGGTTTATCTATTTTTCCCCATCATAAAACAAGCTTTTAATTTTACTTATTAGTTCAATTTTTTTTTAAACTTTCAGTTTTGTCAATCTCTCCTTTGATTTCCAGGATTTCAACTTTGGTGATTAATTGGGAATTTTTAATTTGCTCTTTTTTTAGTTTTTTTAAGTTTCAGACCCAATTCATCTCTCTCTCTCTGTCTCTGTCTCTCTCTTTCTCTCTCATTGATGTAAGCATTTGAAGATATATAAAATTTCCCCTAAGTGCTGCTTTGGCTACATCCCACAAATTTTGGTATGTTGTCTTGTTGTCATCATCTTTAATTAAATTGCTGATGGTTTCTATGATTTGTTCTTTTACCCACTCATTCTTTAGGATTACATTATTTAGTTTCCAATTAAGTTTTAATTTATGCTTCCAAACCTTTATTGAATATAATTTTTATTGCATTATGGTTCAGAAAGGGTCCATTTAATATATATGCTTTTTGGCATTTGTGAGGTTTTTATGCCCTAATACATGGTCAATTTTTGTGAAGGTGCCAGAGACATAGCCATCTCCCAGCCTTCCTATGCCTCTTTCTCCTACTCTCCTTGGATTTCTTTACCTACCTCTCCTCCATCTTTTTCTTTTTCTGTGCTTCTCTCTCCTTAATTTCATTTTCTTTGTCCCCTTATCCTAGACACCTGTGTCCCTTAGGCAAAAACATGCAACTGATGATTATTTTAAGTCCCTCTTTTCTTCATTTAAAAAGTGGGTGAGAGCAATATAATCTTTAAACAGAAAAAAAAAATTCAAACAAATCCAAGCCAGATTAAAAACTGCTTTTCTTTTGTGGTTTGACTCTGATTTTTTTTTTTTAAGTACAGTAGCTTTTGTTGAACAAGCAAAAAAAAAAAAAAGCTCCCCCCTTTTGGTCTAATCATTGCTCTCTACTGCCCCCTTGTGTTCCCAAAGGAGATGTGTCTGTAGCAGTGGGGTATGGCAGAATATGCCAAATGAATCCCATTTCAGGTCTTTGCCTCAAGTTATTTCAGATTTTTTTTTCTTGATTTTGCCCTCTGCCCTCCAAAATGTGCTTATTCCTGGAATTTTATTTTAAAAGTAACTCTGTTAAAATTAATCTCAGTGAATTTCTCCTTACTCCCTACTAGTATGAAGTTTTCAAAATCAGTGCAAATCTTAAAGCTTGGGCTGTGTCTCACAGTTAAGGGACCTGAGGAGACTGCTGCTGTAGTTGCCAGCTTAGTAATAGAGGAGGGGGAGTGGGAGAGTTCTGAAGGTCTAGAAATCTATTTGCTCCTGAGAGTAAGGGCCCAAATGGTTCCCCAATTTTTGAGAAATAGACCAGCCCAAGTTCTGCTTTCCACTGCTAAGATTTGGAAGTCTGTATCAGCCTCAGCTGGGGTGTACTGGAGGGAGAGGTCCTGGAGACACTTGGCCTGTTTGGGACCTGGAAGATGGCAAAGAAGGCTCCCTCTCACCTGGGGAAACTCCTTCTGTAGATACCCCTTCTCTTGATCTGCCTTCAAGTCTTTGACTTCATTCATGACATCCTGGATCAGTCCCATAGCCTGCAGGAGGAAGCAACAGAAGCTAGGATGATATACCTGGCTAGCGGTATGCTGGAGCCAGCTTGAACCCACCAAAATTAAATGTTAAATTTTCAGTGTTGTAAGCATTTACACCTTGAGAAATAAACAAATACTACAAAGCTGGGTTTGACGTATTGTTTTATTGATTGTCTAAATATAAGAAAGTGATGGGAAAATGTTAATAAAGGCTATGTTATGAGCAATTTTTTTTTTCTAGAGAGCCATTTGTTAAACATTTACCAATGGAGTAGTTTCTCTAGACTGGAGAAAAACTGTTGTCTGGGCCTTGTTAGCCTTCTTCTACATGTACCTAGAAGAGTGAGTGGCTGTATGACCAATGAGGGATGCCTAAGTCCTAGTATCACCTCTCGTATGGGATCCTTCACTCAGCCACAAAGAATGCTCTCAACAGGGGGCTGCTGTCTGGGACCTGAAAGTGCTCAGGGATCTCAGCACTGCCAACTAGATGTTCTACCCTGTGTGGGGGTGGGGGTGTATGTGTGTCTGTCTGTCTGTCTGTCTGGAGCTTGCTTGATTGAAAGATACCAGACTTTTTACTATTGGAATGGTAAAAATTTAATTAACAAATTAAAAATTTAATTGACAGCTACCTAAAAGTTCATTTGAGTTATTGTGGCTATTATTGCTTTTTTGAATGAAGTTTATGTTAGTATCTTGTTCAAAATACCATCATTTCAAAAAGGAAATGATATTGGAGATTTCTCTGGCAAGATTATAACTCAGCATTGGAAAGAGCACTAGTCTAAGAATCCGGGGGTGAGGTTCTAGTTCCAACTATACTAATAACTTTAGCTCTATGATTTGGGGCAAGTGACTTCCATTTTTTTGTGCCTCAGTTTCCCTATCTGTATAAAGAGGTGTTTTGACTAATTGATCTCTAAGGTACTTTTCCAACGTCTCCTAGATTAGTACTGGGGAGGTGTGAAATTTGAGCCAGAGTGTTTGTTCCTAAACCTTGGAACGTCTAACACTCTCCCTTTGTCCCCCTCGCAGGCCATTCAGGGTCCTTATCCTCCTTTATTTTCCGGTTTGGTCTCACCTCCCACTTTTTCTAGGATTTTAAGTTTCTAGTTCTGTTTGCCTGATGAACGCCGATGTCTTCAAATGGAAACACAAAGCTCAGCTATGACCCCCGACTTAGAACTAAGGGATACGCTTCCCACCGAGGGCTGTCTCCTTCCTCTCTACAAACCCAGAATGTCTGCTCGCTCAGAACTTTGTTAACAGGAGAGACCTAACTTGACCAAACCTGAATAAGCATTCCATGGGGAAAGGGAACTCTTAAAGTCCTGGGAAGACAATCAGACCCCCACCCCTCAGCAAAGCTGGCTCACCTTGGAAATGCCGTCCTCATTGGCTTCCATTTTCTTTTTCATCTGCATCATTTGCCACATATCTGACACCCGGGAGCCACTCGGCGTCTTCTCTAGCAGGTCGGTACCGGATGGCAGCTTGTCCAAAGCAGCTATTTGCTCCCCAAACCCATCAACCTGGGAGCCAATGTCCTGTACCTGGCTCTCAATTCCTTGCACTTGACTCTCTATGGCTTGGACTTGTTTGCCTAAATCCTGTACCTGTACTCCCAGGTCCTTCACCTGAGCCTCTATTATTTGGGGTGTGAGTCGCCCTGCAGAAGGCTGCTTATTGATGCTGACCTTTCTCTTTTCCTTGGTCGGGTACCCACTTATGGGCCCCCGGAGAGACTCTGTGCTGCGGCTCTGCTCAGTGATCTGGGAAGGCAACTCAATTTTGACTTCCTGCAGGTTTAGATGTTTGAGCATAGCTACGAGCAAGGTGTGGAGGGCGTTGAAGTTGACAGCGCCAATCTCCGGGGTACCAATCGAAAGGTGCACCAGCTCCACAAGCGTGATTTTGGTAGGCATGATTAGCCCACTTAGGTCGGCTCAACATTCAAATCGGTCAGGCTCAGGATGGGCTCCCTGAAAAGAAAGAGTAGGCCCGTTATTCGCCCCCCCCCCTTGTCAGTCCAGAAGGGCGGCTTTAGCGAGTTCCTGCCAGTTGCTACCAGCTGTCTTGGTGCCTTTAGCCAGCCCTGCCAAATAACTACGGCGTGAGAGATTGACGCTATCAGAAATCTAAGGATACAGTCCAGGGAGGTGGGTGCCTAGGTAACAAGGGACTCCTCGCCCTCGTCTAGGAAGCCCTGCCCTGTGCAGACCTACCTCCCACCTCCCACCGTCGATTCAGTGAATCTCAGCTTATTGCTAGGTTGCGGGCTAGACCTCTGCTCAGTACCTACTCTAATCGAGTCTCCCAGCTGGGGCTCCACCCTCTCCCTCCCATTGGTTCTTCGCCAATTAGGCACTTTTTCTCGGACGTTCGAAATGTCCGGCTTGCTATTTGTTTTCTTCCAAGGGGGATTTTATTCTTTTAGTATTCTTGGTTGCTCGGTAACAGTCGCAAAAGCAGTACCACAGCTCGCTACGAGTTCCATGGGAGGAACGCGCCATTCAGACGGAATCCCTGGAGCCCCCACCAATTTAGGGCGGAAAGGTTGATAGCGAGGTCCACTGGCGAAGCTAGCTGCTCGCTCCCCGAGCCGGCCCATGCAGTGAAAATAGTCCCTATCGATGCCATCAACCCGTTAGCCCAGCGGCCGACCAAGCAAAGCTCGCCCTGCGATTGTCATCTCACTCCAGGAATTAATTTTCCAAAGAATGATCTGGAAGGCTGAGATCATGGAACTAGTTCGTGACGGCTAGGATTAGAATTCAAGTCTCCAGACTCCCAGTCCCCAGCCCATGTGTCCACAGAGGGTATTCCCCAGAATGGTGGAGGGGGAGTGCGCTTGCTGAGGTCCTACACGGGAGGACTGGATATGTTTATTTACATTGAAACACAAGTGGCTGAATGCGTTCATAGAACTGGAGGCAATCTGCTTAACGTTAACATGCACCTCATGAGCGTTAAACTTCTCACAATAACCTTCCATTCTGAGGCAGGTGCTTTTATTATTCTCATTTTACAGATAAGGAGACTGAGGAATGGGGCAGTAAATGGCTTGTTCAGAGGTCACACGGCTAGCCTATTGGATCACATTTTAACTCAGACCTGACTCCAGATCCAACACTCTACCCACCAGAGCACCTACCTAGTATTTTTAACCTGGGGTACTTATTTTTAAAAAAAGTACTCACAGTTGCATTTCATAATTGTTTTATTTTTGTAATCCTGTCTTCATGAATTTAAAAACATTATTCTAAGACTCCCCCCATCCCCTCCCCAACGTCAGACTGCCAGAGGGGTCCATGGCACAAACAAGGTTAAGGATTCCTGCTGTTTAAAAAAAAAAAGTGAGGGAGCGTGGAGAGTGTTTCACTATAGAGGTAGAGAAGTGGTAAATACCTATCATCTTGAAAGTGCTCTATGTGGCAAGCTTTTCTCCTGCTACATTAACAGATTTCTCTAAAATCAAAGATGCACTTTAGTGAAATCCCAATTCTGCTGCTAATTAGAAAGATGAAGCTAGGCATTTCAGGCCTAACCATTTGCAATGTTCAACTGGATCATAGCCGAAAAGGCTCTTAAAAAATCCAGTCCAATTCCTTCCCTTTGCAAATTAGGACACTAAGACTCAAGGTAAAACTGGGACGTGCTGGAAGGTCAAAAAGTTATTAAGTGGTAGGTGGGATTAGAACCTGAGTTTTTTTGGGTTTTTTAAAACTCTAAATCCAGTTTTATACTATATATCACTAAACTGTTGCAGAAAGAAAACAATTCAATCTACTTAAAATGCAGCTGGAACTCATTACTTAAAGGAACTTTGCACTACTTTGGTGAGTCTGAACATGTGAACTCAAAGATTAGTTCTTTTTATTCAACATGGCACAGATGAGTTGTTCTTAAGCTACTGACTTTATTAAAATGGGGGTAGTGATTATAAAAAATGGAATGTTAACTCAGCTAACTTTTGATAGACTGGAATTGAAAGGTCAATGGAAATTGAGCGAACAGGTGCTCCACTGCAGATTTATTCATTTAACTCAAAAAAACTCAAAAACAAAAACAAACACTTCTCTACACCCTAGCAGATTCCCATGACAGCAAGCACCACAAAACTCGCTCATTCAGCTCAATCAATCCATGGAGAACCATGGTGTGATTATTTTGCTCCAGAATTACTGAAACCAGCCTTCCAGACAACAAATTTTGACAAAAGTGGAGAAATAATACATTTTGGCCACAAAGGAACTTTGTACTTCAATACAGAATGTTTACAACATAGTATCAGAATCAAATGCAAAAATTTGTAAGTGGTAGAGGCCAACAGATTAGACTCTAGAAACTGAAATGATCCCAGGCCATACCTTCCTGTCTTACTAGTGGAGGCATGATCTGTCCAGAGAGATAATGTTCTCAGTGTTACATAACTAGTTGACCTCTAAAGGCCTACTTCATCTAGGGCTCCACCCAAACTGTATTGCTTTTCCTAAATCCTTAGGGTCTTTCCAACCAAAATTCTACCTATCCAGGACAATCAGGATCAGTAGTAAAAGGCAGCTCCAGAAGAACAAAATTAAACCGGCTAAAAAGTTTTATCTGGAGAGTTAGCAACTTATTGAAGAAAGATGAAAACCTTCATGCTGGGACAAAGAAATGCAACTGCACAGTAGTCCATTTGTGCTTCCTAACCCTCAAACAACGAATGAAATGAAATGAGTTCTAGGTCAGTGACATTCATTGCTTAGGAGGAAGGCTACACTCACATCCCACAGATGATTGGCCCTTGATTGGAAGGGATGAGATTAGTTAGTATAGGCAAAAGCAGGAATCTATTCACACAGCACCCAGTATTGTGAGCTAATAAAGAGATTTTAATCTCATATTGCCATGTAATTTGTAATGCAGTAATTTATCATTTTAGTTCCTAGTACTCATCATACACACACACACCTCATTCATGTAGTCGGATGGGAAAGGACATTAGATGGGATGGGCAAATATAAGGGGGAAAGGGGCAAGGCACATGCTTCTGCAATGTAGTGGGGTTAGGTAAAGATCGAGTTATTTAATTTGCAATTTTGAAAAAACCCTGCATATATTATAGGCGGCCAGATTCATAGGCTAGACAGCCCAATCTTGATATTACTGTACTACTTTCTAAATGTATTTAGCCCCACGAAATCTCACATTCTTAAATGACACAGAATACTTACTCCTTTCTTAAGGAAAGAGATAACTTGATTCATAATTGCTACAGGCAAGTATTCTATTTGTAGAAGCGATTTCAACGTAAGAACCCATTTTCTAAGAAATAAACCAATTAGTTTGGTTATGAAACAGTTTCAGTTAAGTCTTTGAAATGGATTCATTTTAAGCATAGGGCCTTAATAGCTTTTATAAAAAGAAATGGATTGGTAGGAGATCCTTCAGCCTACTCACTTATTCAGCATTAAATCATCTCCATCACAATGCTTCTCCACATGGCAAAAGAAAGTTTCTGGTATAAACACTGCTCAATTTAATGTTCTTTTGCTTCTCCACCATCGCTCCAAGAAACCTCCAGCACTCTCCTCCCCCAAAAAAACTTAATATACATAACTGATGGCCCTGCCTTTTTTCCTCAAAAGCCCCAGAACAAAAGCAAGTCTGGATTCTAGTCATCTACAGTAATGTTTCTAAATAGGTAAGCCATGGATTCCCCATTGTGGATTCTCCGTATTGCTTCAGAAAGAATCAAGCTGATATCAACAGTCTTTATCTTGGGACACTGCAGCTTCTGTACTTCATGAGGAACAGTGTTGGTCACCACTACCTATAGTCACACGGTAACAGAAAAGAAACAGTGTTATCAGATTTCGGAATCACACAGTCCCCTTCAAAAAAACTTCATTTAAAAAATTTTAGTTCCTGTAACAGAAATGAGAACACTAAGCTGTATGGCAAGTAAAAAAACAAACAAAAAAAAAGTTGGAGAAGGAGAAGACATCAGATTCAAAGGGTATTCTGCTGTTTCTCATGCATTTAAGCCATTTCTAAATAACTGTAAATTGTTGAGTCTGAGCACTGGATTGCTGATGGATGAACTGCCTAATTAAACATTCTGCTAGATAAAGTTTTTGATTTACCCTGCAGAACTTGAATTGGGAAAATCACCTTCCCAACAATGTATAAGTAAACACCTGGTGGGTTCTTACATGTATAAAGCCAAAAGGATAAGGTTCTGTTTTGTGCTGGTGTTTCCTGCCCTGTTTGTAAGAAAAAGCCACCTGTTTAGTGTCCTAGAAAGGATCATTAAGACCTGGGTGTGAATCTCTTACTGTTTGACCTTGGGCAAACTGTTTTACCTCCTCACCCCTCAGTTTCCCTCATCTTCAAAATGCAAAAAATTCACAATTGCACTATCAACCTGCAGGATTCCTGTGAATGAAACATTTTGCATTGTACAACACTATATAAATATATCTACATAATCATCTTATAAACAGGCAACATTAGACTCCAGGCCTTAAGACCTGGATTCTAGTCCCGGACCTGTCCAACTTTGTGATCTTAGGCAAATCCCTTCACTTCTGTGGGATCCAGTTTCCCTGCCTGTCAAATCAAGAGGATGAACCTGTAACTTTTTTCTAGCTCTAGTATTCTCTAATTCTATATGCTTCTGAGTCGAGTTGGTAAACAACTTTTGCTGTTCACAGAAAGAATAGCAATGAGCAGTGACTCGAGCCAGCTCAGAAGAAAAGAAAGGTGCCCCTTCTCTTTAAGAACAGACATACTTCATCAATGGATGATTCCTCAATTAGGCGGGGAGCATCTGCAGACAAGATGCCATGAGTGGCCATGACATAAATCTTGTAGGCACCTCGCTCTTTGAGTATCTCAGCAGCAGCTACAAAACTTTCCACATCATCAATGATGTCATCCTGGGGGGAGAACAGAACAGAATCAGAGAGCTGTTGCCCACTGTCTTAACCTATTCCTATGGTTTACCTTAAACACAGAATTAAAAGACTAAAAATTTAACCTTTCCTTTTTTTTTAGGAAATAAAATGTTTTTTTGTTGTTTTTTTTTTTAAATTTTTTATCTGCTGGGCATTTCAGACCTAACCATTTGCAATGTTCAACTGGATTACAGTTGAAAAGGCTCTTTAAAAATCCAGTCCAATTCCTTCCCTTTGCAAATAAGAACACTAAGACTCAATTTACAATTATTCTGGCTACTCCAACTAAAGACAACCCCAAGGATGAACATGTAGGAATAGTAACAATGGCAATATTGGTATGTGGTACCAGCCCAAGCAGCAGTGGGATTTTAGTATATATAAATACCTGCAACTATGAATCTCTCATTCAAGCTCTTTATAAAGCAAGTTCATTGGAAAGATACCAGAAGAAATCCTCAATAAGGAAATAAGACTTTGTGCTCCAGCTAAGAAATTCTAAGTAGAGCTGTGGGTGAATGCACAAGTGAAATAAACACACCATCCAAAGGCTAAGAGGAATCTGAACTCAGGAGGACACTGGCTTGCTTACCTTTGTGATAAAACTAACATCTGTTATTAAGTACCACGCTGCTAGTATCTTTGGCCACTTAATTCAGATAGTTAAGAGCAGTGACAAACCATGGGTTTGAATATGTCATATTATTTTTGTCTCACTTCATGAGTACAGTTCATAGTCTGGCCCTGACAATTATCTCAGAAATTGTTCTACTGGTCATTAGAGGTATGAGATGAAAGAATGGAGGCATTAATTCAAATACGTCAATCCGGGGTAGCTAGGTGGTGCAGCAGATAGAGCACAAGCCCTGAAGTCAGGGACTTGAGTTCAAATCCAGCTTCAGACACTTGATACTAGCTATGTGACCCTGGGGAAAATCACTTAACCCTGACTGCCTCACCACAGACACAAGACACACACACACACACACCTCTCACTATGACATGAAAAAGATCAAAAGCATAAACCCTAATGATACATGTGCCTGCATTCGTGTGTGCACTGGAGCAATGTCATCCTGCAGAAATTACATTTTAAAGTTCAAGTGTTTAAGTTTTTTGCGGTGAATAAGGAGGATACCATACCACTATGATGGCAATCCTCCCTCCAACATCTCCAACTACAGTGATTGGTGGTTTTTCTTTGGCCATCATCACTAGGAAAAAAACAAAAATTTTGTTAGCCTTTATACATCAGAAGAGGAATATGCATACATACACATATATTTTATTCACTTCATAAAATGATTTTGCCACTGAATAGTAAGATTCTCAAAGCTTCCCCATCATCAAACCCAGTGTGGCCCCAAGTTGTCAAAAGCCAGAAAAACTTAGAAGGACCTCCCTAGGATCAGAGGCTCTGGAAGACTTCTCAGGATGAAAAACAATCCTGTCTACACCTTTCATGAGAGCTCAGGTTGTTCTGCCGAAATTTTGTGGTGCTGCACATAGGAGGCAGAGAAGCTTGGATCAAAACACAAATGGATTACGAATGTGGACCAAAGAGCAAGAGGCAAGACAACAGGAGCAGATGGAACGGAGACCAGGCTGACCTGGACTGTCTGACTGAAGAACAATCAATATTCTTTTTCCTAGAGTTTAAATCTCTTAAAACCCCTCCTCCCCCCTCAAGCCCTGCCTCAGACCAGCTGGGAGGAGAGTAGAGGAGAGAAAGCTCCAAGTCCCACTGTGGCCTTCTGTACCTGGTTTGAATCTCTAAGTTACCTGATGGAGTTCATAAATTATTTTTAAAGGCCCCATGTTCATGCATGTAATATAGGGAGCTCCTGGTGAGGAACTTCCCCTAGCAGGACAGATGAGTATCTTCTCTGCAACTCCCATTTGAGAGCTGTTGGGAGCACTGGGAGATAAAGTGACTTGCCATGTATCAGAGGTAGTACTTGAACCTAGGTGAGTCCAGCTATCTATTATGCTACCTTGCCTCCCTCAATAATAAATCACATAGACATTAGCACTGGTTCTAAATAAGTCTGTAAACTCATAGCCTGAGACTGAGAAAGAAAAAACTGTACCCCATCTTCTTCGGGGTCGGGGAACCTACAGCCTTGAGGTCCTCAAGGGTGGCCCCGATTCAGTCGAAGGTGGTAGTTCCCCACCACTATTCTAGGTTTTATTCCTGGGTGGAGGTTGAGCTCATTAGAGAAAATAAGAATTTCTGAAAACTTGGGAATTTACTGAGAATATTCCCATATATACAAACTGCCTTAGAACCCAAAGCCAGACAATTAATGAGTCAAGCCAGAAGGATTGGTGTGGTTGTCCCTAATTGCATCTGTGAGGCAATGACCACATTCCAAATCACACAGCCATACTCCACAAGAACTACACTAGAATCCTTTAAAAAAAAAAAATTCTCCTAAGGGCCAAGTAACAGAATTTGACGTTTTCCCCAAGAAAGAATCAGTTCCACTGAGTCTAACAATATCTAGAATAGAAACTAAGAGTAGAAATTTAGAATAAACTCTGACCTTGCATAAAATAAAGATTAAGATAGAAAAATCCTTTGATTTCAAAGTTAAATATTTTGACCATTTTCACAAGCCACTGAACTTTACGGGTTCCACTCTTACTACCAAAGAGATTTTAATAGTTGAATCCAAGCCCATTTTACTCTACAGCTCAGTGAACAGAAGTCTGTTGAACTCAGACTGTAAATGAGCCAAAAAGAAACTATTTTATTGATGAATTTAAGATACTTCGTAACTCCTGATTCAAGAAAAAAAAATACCAATATTAATTTTATTTCCTGTATTCTAGAGGACAAGAAGCCCCAAAGCTCCTGTACATTTTCAAAAGGGAAAAACTATCAATGGAAGCAGTTAAACTGTCTTTCCTTTAATTCTGTGTTTAAGATAAACCACACAGGGTAGTTATGTTGACCTACCCGCTTCTTAAAGGGATGTGATCCCTTTTCTTGATCATTTTTTTCCTCTGCAAAAAAAGAAATTGCAAGCCAGTATCTACCCATAACCACATCAAATACCAGCAGAAGTAAAACTCTGTTCCACTGTGATACAGAAAACATGTCAACTTCGTGGTCAGTTTTCTACTAAAAAATAATCTTTTCTCCTCCCCTCCAACATACAGTTTTTGAAATTCAATAATAGGGTGGGAAGCAAAATAAAGAAAGTCTGACCAAATAGCTTCCTCCCAAGAAGCTGAATTTATCTGTGTTTTAAAGAAACAACAGACAAAATTGGTTAAGACAATTTTAAAAACAACTGAAAATAAACTTTAGAAGAGGGTGGAATAAGTGTTATATATAAAAAAGCATCAACATAACCAAAAATAAAGAATGGAAGGAACCAATAGCATTTCACATTAAAAAACAATTCTCCCTAATAACTAAAATAGATAAGTTTTTTTTAAATGATGTGGTTTTAAAGGATTAAAGAAATGCCATGAACAAAAAAATACTAAACGACCAGCAGCTCTTCTTTTAAAGCTTTCTTCTATTCTGCCATTTCATTAAGAAGAACACGCCGTTTTAAAGAACAAAGCTAATTTTTGAAGCTTAAGGTAGCACTTGTAAGCCAGCCTCCAGTAAAATGTGAGTCACAGCTGGGTCCTTAGTTACCCAGAGGATCAAGAACTCCAACAATCCCATCACAGCTCCTTCACTAGAGCCAAATGCTTGTTGCATTAGATTGGACTTGATTGAAATACCAGCCCTACTACGTACTAGAAGATGAAGAGGAAAAAGTTTTTTCATTCCTCACCCATCAACTTGGTGCATTTATAGTTCAACAGAAAACTATACCCAACAAAAGTCTGATGTTAAATAAGAGAGAAAACACGGACAAGTCAAGAACAGACCCCCAGTTAGAACTTAACCCAAAACAAGCCACAGCATCAGACAAAGAAGGCAGAATAAAAATGAAGCCAGAAAACATGGGCCCCAATATCATCCCCTTCTGTCAACTCAAATTTACCACTGTATAAGTATATAATGAACTAGACCAGTCCACAAAAGGTTTAGTTTTTTTTTTTTTCAAATTAGAAATGACCTCTAGTCATTGTTCAATACAAAACTTTTAAAGACCGTCAAGGTAAAAAAGTAAAGCAACTGGGATAAGTGGAGGTGACATTATTTCTATGAACATGAACACACCATTACCTAAAAATTCATTCTTTTGGCAGGACTTGTGACTAGAATAGCAACTTTTCTGAATAAAGCAATGTTCTAAGTTTAAGCAGCGCCTTTCCAATCAATGACTGCCATATTTGAGACAGATCCATATTAATGGTGAAATGCTTACATTCCTTATTCTCTCTCTCTCTGATGGGAACTATCTTTACACACAAGTAAGTAGTGGTTGCACTGTTAAGACTGCTATAAAGTACAACATTCCAACTTAATTTTGTACCAAACATGTGCTGCATTCAAAACTGTGAGTCAATGTGGCAAGTGGGCATGACAATATCTGAGAAGCAGATTTTGGAACAACTCTTCTTTTTAGGATGAGAACAGCCTGCCATAACAATCTGAAAGACAGGAACATTAGTCTTTCTTTTCCAGTGACTATATACATCACGTAACAGAAAGATTGGAAGCCTTTTACTATAGCATAGTTTGGGGCAACTAACTCTTTAAGAGAATAAAAGACCACAGTAGGTTTATAACTTCAAAAAGCAAAAGAAGAATCTCTTAAATCCAATGATAAGAACCCAAGAGGGAGAGAAGGAGAGGGAGGGGGAAGAGAGAAAGATTCAGATAAATTTATTTAACACTGAATCAAAAGCCTCTCTAGAGCCAAATTAATGGCTGATCACATTACTGATGCAGATTTGTTAAGGCTGGGAATATAGGAGAAAGAGAAAAGTTATCACCTGAACTATCTTTCCATATGTGATAATTCTGACTCAGACTCAATAGTGTTTAATATTTCAATAACACAAAAATATATGAAATGAGGTTTAAAATAAGGCTCTCAGAATCTGAATGCAGGTTCTAAATCCAAATAAAGTGTTCTTCTACAGTGATGTCTCATGTAGGTCTACCCATGTAGAAAGAAATGATAAAACTACTGCATGGCAAGAACATTTTACTAAATTTACATACGCTATTTGAAACTGCCTTCTTGCAGGGAGTGCAGTATCATAATAAACACATTGGTTACTTAAGCGTGTACTCATCTCATTGAAACACCCGAAGTAACTGTACTGAAGCATACTTAATTTTTGGAAAACAATTCCACATGCTGCAAAGCTTTTTGGAACTTTTCAACTTGTGCAAATGTGTAAAGAAATATCATCTTTAAGCTATGCTATGCTCTGGAAAGCTGGTACCTGAATAACCCAGTCAAAACAGAATTCCATCATGTGTAATGACCATGGTAATAAATCATGTCACGTTAAGGAGGAGAAAAGTTATTACCATCACCACTATGAACTTTGCTTCATGAAAGGTTTCTCCTAGGTTGAGACAAAGCAATGTTTACATGGCAAAAATATCAGAATGGTGGGTATTCCTTATGTTCCCGTTTTTCCTGATTACTAAACTATCTTAAGCAGACTTAACTAAAAAGTCTATATACAGACAGTTCTCGATTTACACAAAATTGCATTAGGCAAATCTGACTTCACATAGAAAATTGTGAAAGAAATCTTCATTTAAAAAAACAAAACACCTATGGTAACTTGACTGTACAGTACTGTGTGTTCTGTCTGCTCTTGAACCCTTCTGCTCGATGCTTTGCAGTCTCCCACCCCCCTCCCCAAAAACCCAACACCCCCCCCAAAAAAATCCCTTCAAGTGAAAGCAGAAGAGCAGAGAGATAACTGTTGTTAGATCTGCACTGGGGTGTCTTCCTAAGAGACCTTTGCTCTCTTCCACCCACCTGCCTGTCCAGCTCTTCTATGTGTGCTTAAACTGTCCTTGAATCTTGTGCAGCCCACCCCCCTTGCTGTGTGGCTCCCTTCCTAAACAGAGGTGTTTCAGAACAGTCCACTTAGGTAAAGTAAAACTGTCCGTAGCGTGCAAAGCCTAAAAGAACAGGAGCAACATGGAATGAAAAACAAAAACAAAAACAGTAAAGAGCCTCTGAAGAGATAACTTTGCTTGTTTCAACATAGTATCTGTTATACTTGCGCTGCCTACAGTCTTGTGTAGATGTAATATGCTGCAGTGGATCATATTTACAAAAAAGAGAAGCACACATCAAATGGATATATATTACATTAGAACAAAAATCTGACTTAAATGAATGGCATGAATGTGGCCACAATAACTTTAAAATAGGACAAGATGTCAAAATGCCCAAATCTATAGCATGGAATATTATAAAACATAAAGGAGAAATAAAAGGGCAAAAATGCACCAGCTTTTTTGTGGTCTGCAAACAACTACAAGGACTACAAGTATTCTAAGGACAAAACAGAGTCTTTCAGCTATAATTGCAATATAATTGCAATAAAAAAAAGCATTCCTCTTAGCAGTGTAATCCTTCAGACAAATCTTCAAGTGAAAGAAAATGGAAATGAAGTGCATGGTGAAGAAACTTTTACTATTAAGTTATGGTTGGTTCAAATGATTTAAAAATTGATTTTGTAAATTTCCATTGGGTTGAATAATGCTAAAATTACTAGAGAGGCAGCCAATGCAGGTGAGGACACAGCCACAAAACACTCTGACATTTTGAAGAAAATAAATGAAGGTGGACACACTGATCAACACATTTTAATGTGAATGAAACAGGCTTATTTTGGGAAAGGGTGCCTTCCAAAACTTACATTTCTAAGAAAGAAAAAGTTCAACCTAGATTTAAAGTGACTAAGGATCTCCCAACACTTTTATTAGCAAGTAATGTTGAAGGGGATTTTAAATTAAAACGAATACTTATGGGTCTGGAAATCCATGCACTTTTAGAGGCTGTAAGCATTGGTTGCTTCCAGTTCTTTACTGGTGAAAAGCATTCATGATTTTAGGTAATGCTCTAGGATCATCCAATTATACCTGGCTGTCTTGTGAGAACATGAGAACAAATTACCAAGATGTGGATAAAGTTCTCTGCACCTACCAGCGTACAAAGATTTAAAGAGAAGACAGTTCGATCTATGTTGCTAAATATTTCAAACAATTTAATGTAGACCTCCTTTGGTACAATACTGAGTAATTTTTTAAAATTTTGCTTTCTATAACCACTCTAATCCTTTTATAATTTTGAATAGTGTCAACTTGAATGATGACCACCCCAATGGTTTTGCTTAGTCTCAGTAATTAGGACCCTGCTACGAAAACATAAAGGCATTACTTGCTAGCTGATGCTGGACACCATGCAACAGGCTATGCCTCTTCTCCACTTTCCAGAGACTAAAATATGAGTAGGAAAAAGTCACCTCGTCACTAGGCTTAGTTTTCATTTAATACATTATTCCCCTTCTTTTAAAAACTGCCCATTTTACTAAAATAAAAAACTTAAAAGAGTTCTAATCTTTCCTTATATTATTTCATTTTAAAGTTTTGAATATCTTGTCCTTAAAGTGCTAAATGCTGTCTATAGTGGCTCATTTGTCATGCCTCTTTCAAATGTATATTAAATGGTGGTAAAACTGAGGCTGTATTTATGTTAACAAAAGGTTTACTGTTTCCCACTATTCATGGTGATAAAACCACACAACTGGAAAGGACCACAGAGATCATAACTCTCTCAAATTACTGAAGAGGGAACTGAGGCCCAGCACGGGAAAGTAACAACTCAAGTCTCCTGATGTCTTGGTTCAGAGCCCTTTACATAAATACTGCCTTTCAAAAGACGTAAAAACAAAGATAATCTTACAAGGCAACTCAAGACCAGGGTGGACAGTGGCATTTTTGACCATTGGAGGAGAATGACGTCCATCATCCATGTCGAGCTCTGTACACTGAGCTTCTCCATGTATTACAGCTAAACCCAGGCGAAGTCTCTCAGCATATGATTGGGCCCTAGGAGAAAACCCAAGAATATTCATGAAGAAGAACCCTAGAATCATTTCATCAATATTTACTTGTCATCAAGAAAAACATTCCAATGAATTTTAACACCACATTAAGTACCAACATACTCAATACTTACAAAAAACTATGGCCTGGCCCTCAATTTGATTATATATCTTATGAAGATGGTGGGGTCTTTTGGTACTACATAAAAAAACCATATTAACATCAGTGTTTTGGATTCAGTAAGCTCTGCTTAAACTCATTTTAATGTTGTCCTTTGTTCAATATTATGACACAATAACCACCCCACCCTCCCCCATGGGAAAGAGGTGCGCAATCAGAAGCGTCCTTAAAAGTTAGAAAGATGCTTATTGTTTCAGCTGCTTTCCTTTCCCTCAGAATTTTGAAGAACTTAATGCTCTCAAAATATAAATAATGATATAAATAATAATGATTTAAATGGTGAAAACAGCAGGTGTCAATTTGAAAAAAGCCTACTTACATCAACAAAACCTGACTGACTAGAGTTCTATTAAAGTTAGATCCTGATAAAAGGAGCAACAGAGATACCTCATACATTTCTGGCTTATTTACCTTTTTGCAGCATCAGGAGACTTGGCTACAATGACTGCATTTCTGTAATTTGGGATCTAAATTGAAAAGGAAAAAGAATCATAAAAATGTCATTGGATATTACTAGTCACAGAATTTGATAAAAAATCAGATGTAAAAATCACATGATACAAAACAGAGCAACATACTGGAACAACTAAAGAACGTTTAAAACATATTGGCCATTTAAAATCAGCAAAAAAAAACCCAAAAAACAAACAAAAAAAAAACAACCCTACAGTTATATCACTTGAGATAAAAATAATTAAATTCTGAATCTTCAAGGAAAGAGTAAACAGATCACCAAAGGGAATGAAAAGGCAATTCTTTTTGTCTTATAAATAACATGATGCTATACACATGGCTTGTTGATGGGGAGGCTATGCCTTACTCAAATAATTAGAAGAGACCTCTGCTAGAAACATTATCTGTTCTGCCTTTTAGATGCTCAACTCCTACATCAGAAAAAGAGCAAAGTAACATAATATTTTAAAGAGGACTACTATGTTTTTGCTAGGTGGCATAAGAGGAGAGTTTTCTCACTTCTTCTTGGATATACTGAAGTAGGAAAGGTGATGCTCTAAGGTTGTCCACAGGAAAGCTGAAAAAGCCTTGTATTTCCTTTTGATGAAGATCCATAGTTATTATGTGTGTTAAACCTGAAATTTTAAAACAAAAAATTAAAATGTTCTCACCTACAAATAGTGATACACTGGACAACATCCTGTGGTCTAACTAAGGATCCCTGAGAGAAAGAGTGGCGAGTGATGCTGGCAGCTCAACAAAGGTGGCTTCAACAAGTCAGTTACACACAGGTCCTTTAAACATCACACCTCAATGAGAATTACTGACAAAGGATGCACCAGGCCGAACTGAGAAGCAAAATAAGTTTGATCCTACTTAGGGTTTGTTTGAACTTGTTCCTGAAAACTCAGCAAAGAACAGAGAAGATAAAAGAAATTTAAATAATGAGTCAATATATACAGAAACACTAAGAGATGTAGATGACAACAGTTTGACTAAAAGATAATTAGAAAGAATGTGAAGCAGTGCTGGAATGAATAGCAAACTGGGAAAATAAAATAGCAGAATGAAAACATCAAAAACAAAGTGATTTATAGGTTTAACCATAAATTCTATTATTTCTGCCTGATGTAGAAGAAAAGATGACTGATAAGCATGAAAGCAAAATAATGCTGGGAAAATAAGCTACCGTGGTAAAAGAATCAGAAATACCAGAAATACGGAACATATGGAACAAAAGAGATTCATTTGCTTTTTTTACAGTTCAGTTATTAACTATTAAAAGAAAGAAAAACAATTTAGACAGGAACAGAATTAGCAAACTAAGAAATGCAAATATATGAAGCAGGCCAAAATGTAAAAAGACTAGTAGAATGACAAGACTAATATCGAAAGACTAAAATTCACGAGAAACATGTTGGTGGAGAGAAAAAAGAAGAGTCTGTGCCAAAATTACCACTAGAGCCCTATATAAATTCTACAGAAGCCAAGCAAAGGACTGATCCTATGCAAATGACCAGCAAAGCTCACTTTCTTTTACTCTCTTTATCTATTCATTCCTTTATTTATTCATACACATATATATACATATCTACACACACACACACAGGAGGGGGAAGGGTAATGAGGAAGGTCTCACATCTGAATACTTGGCTCTGATCCACCTTCAATAATGGGAGTGCCAAAGTGAAGGAATATAAAATTCTTCTATTTTCAATAGTACTTACCTGCTTTGGCTAACATGGAAGCTAGGAGCTTGCACACAATGGAACCTCTCTTTCTCATTTTGCTTTGTTTGCTGTAGGGAAAGTAAGGGATGACTCCAATAATATTTCTGGCACAGGCAGTCTTCAGCGCATAGGCCATGATCAGTAACTCCATAACAGCCGTGTTCACATCTCTAAAACATTAAAATCTGACCATTAGGATTCTTTTCATTTTTCTAATCCTGCAAAACATTCAAATTCCTGACCAATCAGAACATCCAGATGCTAAGCTATTACACGATAATTCTTCATCTGTTCATGTGGGCTCTAGGGAAGATTCACCAGCCCCACCTACTTAGCAGTTCATGCTAAGTATTTCTGAATATTTAACTTTACAACACGGCCACCAACCTTTGGCACTTGAACCCTATGCTTAGTTTTTTAGGACTGCTAGCATATTTCTAACTATGGGTATCATTTCAGACTCCAACCACTAGTCACTGGATTCTCTGCAAGACACCAACAGCCACCTGCTTGTACAATCCTCAGATCTTGGACAGCACCTGAACTATCTTTACCAAGAACAAAAAATAATCACCAAAAAGAAAAAGGAAACTACTATCACAGTTGAGCTCAAAGATCTCTTCTTTCTAAGGGATAAGCTTTATTTTTTTTATTTCTAACCCTCAGATGGTAAAAGTTTGAGCTGCTATAAGAAAAGAGAGAGGTGGTAGGATGTAAGAAATGTGAAGGTAGAACAAAGATCTGGAAACTGAGTGGATATATGGTTTTTGGAATAAGAGAAAGTAAGGAGTCAGAAACAAGGTTGTGAGAACCAGGGCGACTAGAAGGATGGTAGTACCCTCAACCCTAACATGGAAGCCTGAAAGTGGGTTTTTTTTTTGGGGGGGGGTTTGGGGAATGTAATGACATTTGTGATTCAGACCATAATCCATGATTCATCCTGTCCTACCTCAAATGAAAAGATAGCAGGGCCTTCACCCAATGGTCACTGTCCTCAAGTACAGAATCCACCCTCTGTAACCACAAAGATTATAATATGGGGGGACATATGAATTTTTTCCAATAATACCTGCACATATTCAGCTAAGAAGTGGGTACAGAGTGGGGCAGTATTGGGGATAAGGGTAGATATGGTTATGTTAGAGATAAGAGCTATGTTTGGTTATCAAAGTAACAGGGGAATAGTCAACCTCCAACTGGATGATCACACATACCCTGGGGTCAAGCCACAGCTCCCACTATGAATAACACTTCTATACTAGCATCTCATTTTTCTTCTGTATCCAAGGGAAAATCTGCTTATCTACTTATTTTTTTCTTATACAGCTTTCATTTGATACACACTCCAACCTTTAACAAAAACAAACAAAAACCACTAAACCAGATGAAACAGAGACCAAGCCAGACAGACAGCACATACAATACTCTGTGCCCATAGTCCCCCACCTCTTTACTGAGAGGGAGATTTGATTTATCATTTGTTCTTCAGAACTAAGACTGAACACTGAAATGAACCAGAATTCAGTTGCCGTAAAATAATGCTTTCATCTATACCAGTGAGTTGCTGTATGCATTATTCTTCTGGTTTACCATGCTTCATTCTCTATCAGCTCATACAGTTTTTCCTGTGTTTCTCTGAATGCCAATAGCTACCTCTTACACTGTATTCCCTACATATGAATGTATTCCATTCACATACCACAATTTGTTTAGTCATTCTCCAAGCCACATAATATTACTATTTAGTTGCCACCACCAGAGCGTCCACCAGGGGGAAACCAAACCCAATTATACTGTAGTCCTGAATGAGAAAGTTCTCAAATCTGCTGTTACCACTTCACATACATTTTGATCTGTTCTCAAAAGGAAAAAAAGACCAAAGATAACAAAGAAATTTATATCCTGTTAACAATGATTCTGGATTGCTACTCTCTGCATGAGCTGACCACAACTGTAATTGGTTCCATGTTCAAAGGGGAGAAACACAATGGGGACCTTTTAGCATATTCCTTTCTCCACCGGTAATGTATTTTTGCCTTTTCCTTCAGACACTACCTTATCTTTTTAGTTGACATGAGACTCTCCCTCTCCACAGAACTCAAAATCAACAAATATTTATCATCTGTTCTTCTTGCATGTAGATTACTGGAGAAGATGCTGGAGAAGATCTAAGTTTAGATGAGTCCTTGCACTCACGGAATTTACATAAGTAACAGGAGAGGGATAAGAACCAAACACACACAATATTACATGGAAAGTGCATTAGGGGTACTAATTTGTAAGTGCACAGCTAGGTGGCCCACCAGAGTCAGGAAGACCTGAGTTCAAATCCAGCCTCAGACACTGTGTAACCCTGGGCAAGTCACTTATAATCCCTTTTGCCTCAGTTTCCTCATCTGTAAAAGGAGTTGGAAAAGGAAATGGCAAACCACTCTAGTATCTTTGCCAAGAAAACCCCAAATGGGGTTATGAAGAGTCAGACACAACTGAAGTGACTTAACAACAAGAAAATGCCTTAGAGAGGTATAAAACAAAGTGCTATGTGAAGCTCAAGAGGAGAGGGGTTGTTACCAAAGGGAAAAGATCAGAGAAGGTCTTGTGTTGGGCTTTATCTCATGAATTCATGAGACAGAGAGGTAAAGAAAACATTTTTAAGGGAATAGTATGAACAAAGGAGGAAGGGAAAACATAGGCACTGGAGTTAAAAATACAAAGAATGAAACAATCCCTACTAGAAAGGAACTCATATTCTCTCTTTTTTTTGCTTTTTGGTGAGGCAAATCGAGGTTAAACCCAGGGTCACACAGCTAGTGTCAAGTGTCTGACACTGGATTTGAACTCGGCTCCTCTTGACTTCAAGGCCAGAGCTCTATCTACTGTGCCACCTAGCTGCCCCCAAACAGAACTTATATTCTAAAGACAGGTACATACACAAATATATGCAAAACAAACAAACAAACAAAAAACTATGAAAATCATAAATACAAAATAGCTGCCAAACTGAGTCTGAGACAATAGATGTAAAAGCATCTTGTAAATCTAAAAGTGCTATAAGAATGTTAGCTATTATTATTTTCTACTTCGTATAATGAGGATTATACTATTTACACTACTTCACAAGTGATACCAATTTTTTGTAAATCTTACATTGTCACATAAATTCTAAATGTTATTTTTCTCAATTTCCCAGGCTCAGGGGTGTCAGAAGCAACAATTAGAAGACTTATAGAAAGATTATGTTCTACCAGAGGCAGCACAGTCACAGCATCCATTAAGATAGGAAACAAAAGTATAATAGATACAAGCCTCGAGCAGCAAATAAAAAAGAATGATCAGAAATAATTAATAACAAAATATTTTATTTATATTTATAATAATTTATAAATAAATAATAAAAATAAAATAATTATGTACCAGCAAAATACAAATCAAAGGAAAAGGATGAGTATCTATAAAAGTTTAAAAACTCAAACTAAAAAAATCAAGAGAGACCTTAAATAGCTCAATCTGGGGGTGGGGTGGGGGGTGTCAAGCTATAAATGAACTGCCGAAGGAAAAAAAAATCCATGGGCAAAAGAATTTTTTCAACTACTTTCAGAGACAGAAGGCATTCTACCAAACTCTTCTGAAGCGAATATAATCTTGTTACTCAAACCAAGGAGAAATAAAGTAGAGAAAGAGAATTATAGAATTCACTAATGAACACTGACGCAAAAAAAATTAAAATCCTCCAAGACTAGAGAAATATATCCAGAAAACAAACAATTCAGCATTAACAAAGTTGGGTTCATACCAAGTGTGCAAGGACAATTCAACATTAGGAAACAATCAATAAACATTTATCAAGCACCTATGTGCTAGACTTGCAGAAACAAAGACAAAAGTAAAAAAGCTCCTGCCCTCAACTCAGAGTTGACATTCTGTTGGTGAGGGATGTCAGACAGTTTCTGTTTTAGATGTTGCTTTTTTTTCTCATAAGACAAGGTTCAATCTAAAATGGGAAATAACTGTGCTGTAAAGATAAAAGACATCTCTAAACCACAAACAAAAACCCAGATTAAGAATTCAAAAATTGTAGCAGTTTGGGACCATTTAGTATATAAAAGTGAGCGGCCTTATGAATTTCATAGAATTTCAGAGGTAAAAGGGACTATGAAATTATCAAGCCCACAATCCCATATGGGTAAAGAAATTGAGTTAAATGAATTGCCCAAGGTCACACTGCTAGTTACTGGCTGTACTGCAGTCCATTCGGTGCCTCACATGTAGTATACATGCAAATGATTGTTAAACGTAAATATATAATTCATGCTACCAACTTGGTCCATCAAGATTAAAACCAAAAATGTCATAAAAGACAAAATTCTAAGCAGTGACATAATGCAATACAGTTAAATTATAGCACAATAAAGAAGGCATTAAAATACTGAAAACAAATTACAGCACATCATGAATGACGATGATGGATTTTGTCTCTGATAATCAACAAAGCTCTTAGGTGTTCGATATGGAGGCTTGTCAAGAGACAGGAAGTATAGAGTGAATAAGCTTTAAATTAATGTCCTATGGTACTCACCCTTAAATATCATGATTGATGCTGTTCCAGTTAACAGTATCAATAAGATAAATATAAAAAAAAAGAGAAATTCAGCCTAGTTACAGGCTCTTGTTATTTTAAAATTAATGTCAAGATTACTGCAAATATTAACTTGTAACAGCTACAATTTCAAGAACTCACCTAGGTACAGATCAATTGTACCATAACTTATTCTTTCAACTACCCAAACCAGTTCGGGAATAGCAAAATATTACTGAAATTACAGTTCAATAATTCAGAGTCTTAGAAACCTTGTAGGATTTACATAGGATTTATTTGTTGAGTCACATCTGACTTTTCAGACCACATTATGGGGTTTTCTAGGCAGAGCTACTGAAGTGGTTTTTAATGTCCTTCTCCAGTGGATTAAAGAAAATAAAGGTTAAGTGATTTGCCCAAGGTCACATAGCTATGTAACTCAGGTCTTCTTGACTCCAGGCCCAATGCTCCAGCCACCGAGCCACCTGCCATTTTTAGTCCAGATGAAGAAACTTTGAGGGAGGGATAGCCTTTTGAGTCCTCTACATCATCTGGTACACTTAAAGAGAGAAGTATTTTGTTGAAGGGGATCTCAATGTTAGGTGCTAAAAGAAAAAAGCAATTTATACAAGGATATTCACAGTAACGCTAACAGTGGAAAATTTGTAAACACTTCATACATAATTATGTGGTTAAGGAGTGGCTAAGCAAAGTAACACATGTTAACATGACAGAATACCTCATATAACTACTAAAAATCTTTCCTTGTGTCTTCTCTCTATTTCACAGGAACTCAAGGAAGAGCACATGTTCTGTCCATCCATTATCTCATGTTCTTACTAAGCATTCTCTGTTTTCTGGTCATACATTTCCTTGATGACATCTTTTATTGGCTTACTTTTACAAGAATGTCAAGATGGTTGAGTCGCTTTTATCTCCTATTCAAAGTATAACAGCTAAGTGAATGTTTACTGATTCTAGAAATGGTGGGATTCTTGGCACACACCATCCCTTTTCCACCACTGTATCACTGTCACTGTGGGAATGAAAGAGGGGGCAGGGAATAGAACTATGGACATGTTTGTATTGTTCTTTGTTTTCTGGGTTGTACAGGCTCAAGAATTCATCACCAAATGACCAGCCTACAGATGATGAGCTTCTCTTGTATTCAGTGAGGCTGATCCTTTGGAAAGAAATTCTGTTGTCAAGTTTGAACATGTCAATTACAACAAAAGTATTTTAAAAACCCAGAAGCAAATATGTACTTAATGTAAATAGTACAGCTTTTGGGGTGGGTGCATTAAAGTTGCTTAAATTTACTTAAACCAAAACAAAAAAGATAAATACTTTGAGTACCAAATAGCTGGGAGGTCAACTAGGTAAAGAAACCTACTGCATTAATTCCATTTCACTTAAATTCAATCATCAGAGGAAAGCAGTCTGGTTAAAGAACGTATCAAGGTGCAAGCCTTTGCCATATTGGTTTCAGTATTCAGAAGACAGGAGGAATTAAATATTCCTGAAATGTATAACCTGATCAAGGCCATTTAGAGAAAAAAGGTTTCCAGAGACTGAGATGTATGAGACTGTTTATTTCATATTTCCACCAGGGCCTAGCACAATAATTTTACCAAGCACCTGTGTAAAATATTAAATGAATACATTAATCAGAAGGTAACACAACCCCCAAATTATTGATTTGAATTTTATTCCCTGGTGATAACTTAAATACGAAAATATTCACAGCTGCTCTATGACAGGGAAAAACACAACCCTGGAAAACAGCGAAATAAATGGTAGTATAGCAGACAGAAGAGCACTGGGGCTGGAGTCAGAAAGACCTGAGTTCAGATCCACCCTCAGACACTGACTGTGTGACGCTGGGTAAGTCACTTAACCACTGTTTGCCTCTGTGTCCTCATCTGTAAAATTGGGGTGATAACAGCATTTACCTCCCAGGGTTGTAGTGAGGATCAAATGAGATAATATTTGTAAAGTACTTAGCACAGTACCTTGCACATAGTAAGCAAAACAAATGTTAGCTACTATTATTATCATCATTATTACTAACATAACAAAAATAAATATGAAAGAAACACAGAAAGACCTAAATGAAGAGATACTCAGCAAAACCAGAACTATATACATATTGATTACAACTATATAAAATGAAAAAGCTAGAGATAATCTTTGCATCACAGGATCAAAATGGTCAGAGCAAGAGGGAATATTAGGTGATCGAGTCTAGCCTCCTAAATCACTATTTAAATGTCAGCTGTTATTTTGCCCATGCGCTCTTAATCTTTTTTTTTTTGTTTCATGGTCCTCTCTGAATGATGGTTATAAATGCATAAAGTAAAATAGGATTACAATGGAACCAAATATGTTGAAATACAGACATCATTTTGAAAAACAAGTTCACTAACTTCAGGTTAAGAATTCCTGCCTCAGGGAAGGTGCTCTTTCTCTTATTCTATATTTGTACTCCTAGCCCCTAGCACATAAGAAGTGCTTAAAAATGTCTGAGTTAAACTGGATTTCTTCTTATTAATGACTGTTTGTAATTTAAAAACTCTTTTAAACAACTGGTGATATTACTGAAAATGCTGTCTTCCAGGATAAATAAAAATGAAAATGTTTTATGAGGGAAAGCATGAGGTGGTATGGAGACATGACCCTGAATGGGAACAGGAATGTTATTATATGTTATTGTATGTTACTGTATCTGTTGTCATCCCCAGCAGGTGAATCCACACACTGCAGCACCTCGCACTTGTCTCATGTGCACAGAACTTCAGTGACGGTTCTGAGACTGTAGAAGGAGGATGATCTGGAGTAAGAGAGGAGGAAGGAGTGTCCTTGTTTTGCTAGTTCTGAAAGATGGAGATTCATTGATAAGAGCGGGATAGACAAATGGGCACAGCATCTAACAAAAAGCCCCACAGCAGAATTCCTTTAACTAGAAGGAACTGTTCAGGGAAGTAGATTTTGCACTAATAAGCACACACATTACATGAACCTAAAAATTCTATTTTGGAAGTATTTATATAATACTATACATAAGTTCCTTGAAAGGAAAGAGACATATAAGTGAGCTCTAACCTTGGTATTGTCTGTATAATGAAGATATCCTGGCCACGAACAGATTCTTTTATTTCAACTCTTGTTTCTGAAAATCAAGGGAAAAAACATCTTAAACTCAGGCAGCTTATAATTCAAATAACATAGCTGAAAGTATATTGTAAAAAGTAGTTTTTTTGAATCAATAAACCTTTATGAAATGCCTAATATGTGCCAGGCTCTGTGCTGAAGTGCCAGAAATAAAAAAGGCCCAGAGTTGAGATGAGTGTCTTGTTTTTGGAACAGCCAGGAGACCAGGATCACTGGACTGAAGAATCTATATTGGGGAGTAAAGTGTAAGAAAGCCAGAAAGGCAGCAAGAGGCTAGGCTATAAAGAAAGGGCTTTAATGCCAGAGCATTTTTATTTGCTCTTGGAGACAACAGGAAGCCACCAGAATTTACTGAGTAGGGCGGTGACATGATCAGACCTATGTTGTAGTTTTTTTCAGGGGCTAGGCAATAGGGTTAAGTGACTTGCCCAGGATCACACAGCTAGTAAGTCTCAAATGTCTGGTCTGAGACCGGATTTGAACTCAGATCCTCCTGACTCCAGGGCCGGTGCTCTATCCACTGAGCCATCTAGCTGGTCCTTGACCTATGCTTTAGGAAAATCACTTTAGGGATTGGAGGATGGATTGGAGTATGGATTGGAGTGGGGAGAGACTGAGGCAGGCACAAGCAACCTATTACAATAGTCTGGGTGTGAGGTGATGAGGATCTTCACTAGAGTGGTGGCAGTGTCAGAGAAGAGAAGGGGATGTATTTGAGACAGGTTACATAGGTGAAATTATCAGGCCTTAGCAACAGCTTGGATATGGGGGTAAGAGACAGTGATGAATCCAGGATGACTCCTAAGTGGTGGACCTAAGGGATTGGGAGGATGGTGTTGCCTCTACAGTAATTGGGGAAGGTAAAAAGCTAGGTATCTATTATTCTGCTTCTTTTTAATTCCTTCTTGGTTTTTAATTTTTTTCTTTTTTATTGTGAACTTAACCATCAACAAATAAAAACATTTCAATATACAAAGAACAAGAAAAGACTGAATAAAACATTGTGAACTTGTGTTACACGTTTTAAAAACTATACATTAATATTAACAAGGTTCTCCCCCCCAAAAAATTAACAAGGCAGAAATAAAGTTGCTCTTTATGATGCCTTCCACACTTTCCCTTTCTATTAAAAAATGTTTCATTGATGCTTTTTTGTATTATCTATCACTATCTAACTAACCTATGATGCCCACTACTCTCCTGAATAGAAGCCCCTCATTTGTAACAAGTTTGTTGAGTTCAGCAAAATAAATCATTTCATCAGCCAGAGGACAAGGCATATTTCATTCTAAATTTCTAGCCTATCATTTCTCTGTCAAAGAAGTAGGAAGCATGTTTTACAAAGAGTCTTTTTGAATTCAATATAGTTCAATGCTTTGATCAATGAGTTCTGAAAGTCTTTTAAAGTTCTCTTCCTTCACAATAGTATAGAACTAATCTCTGAGCCTGATCATTTCGCTCTGCTGCAGTTCAAACAAGTCATAAAGGTTTTTCTGAACCCATCACTCATAATTTTGAATGTAATTCTATTTGACAAAATCATCACACAATTTGTTCTGCTATTCTCCAAATGACACAAACCTATTGTTTCCAACAAAAATTGCTACTCTATTTTTTAACAATCAGTTTTTCTACCTGTTCTTGACCTACTTGGAGTATATGGCTTATAAGTATCCCTGGTTCAAAGGGCATGTAGTGTCTACTGACACTGGGGCACAGTTACAAACCCTTTTCTCGAATGATTAAATTTGGAGCTCCATCAATGATAGTGTATTAATGTACCTCTTCTCTCAAAACTCCTCACAAAACGGCTAATTTTTTTGGAGAAACACTTTCTGTAGTATCAAAGAACTAGAAACAAATTATATCCACTTCCCGAGAAACGGCTAAATACTGTGGTAAATGGATTTAATGGCTTATTACTATACTTTAAGAAACAACAAAGATGACGAATACAGAAAAGCATAGGAAGACTTCAATGTAGCAATAAAACCAGGAAAACAATATCTACAATAATTAAAACATCAGTTTAAACAAGAAATTAAAACTGAATATTGTGAAATTACAATGACTCCAGGGATATGAAAAGACACCTCCTCCCACTTCTTTGGGAGAAGAGGACACTGCAGATCCATCAAGGCAGACCTTTTTGATGTGCTGGTTAGTTTTGTTGAACTATTTTTTCCCTTGTTATCAGAGATTGCTCTCTGGGGTGAAAAGGAGGATGGAATGTGTTAGGAAATGTGGGTGATGTAAAAATAAAAAGATAACAAACATAACTTCACTTCTGTATTCTTCTTTTGTCATCTGTACCAATATGATGGGAGGTATAATCCTGAAGTATTAATTTGTACTTCATTTGTAATTAGGGATTTGGAGTATTTTTTTTATATGGTTGTTGATAGCTTGCTTTTCTTCTACCGAAAAAAAAAGTAGTTTTCTTACATTGGAAATATACAGTAATCAATAAAAATCAGTAACACTGAAACAACCTCCTTCCATGTGGTATGCATCATAAGGCAACATAAGGGACAGGAGGTGAGCATGGAAGCCAAATCCAGGCTCTGCCACTTACTATGTCTATGGTCTTGGATAAGACCTTCACCTCTCTAGACCCAGTTTCCTCACTTAAAAGTCTCTTCCAGCTCTAAATCTATGATCTTATTTCTCTGTATGCAAAAGATTCTGAGTAGCTTCTGAAAAATGTTGGATAACAAAACTTTCCTAAACTAAGTTAAGTTAGTGAATAAAGGCAAAATTCTCACCTCCATTTGTCTCCTGGTATACAACAGACTTTCCCAACTCGGCACCAAGACGTCTGCAGGAGGAAAAAAATGGAGATTATTAATTTTTCTTTGTTTTTTTTTCCCTTCTATAGAGTTGTGTAGTCCCTATAATTGTATGACATTCATTTCTTTTTTTGCTCCTTCCATTTACATTGTTACTTATTGAGGGCATTATTTTCCTGGTTCTAATTACTGTACATCATTTGATGTCTTCCTAGGCTTCTTTGAATCTTTCATAATTTATGGCTTAGTATTTTTGTACCACCTTTGTTACATCATTCCCCAGTCAGTATCTATTTGTTTCTAGTTCTTTGCTATCACTAAAGAGCTGCTACGAGTATTTTGGTATATATATGAGTTTTATTTCTATCTTTAATTTCCTTGGGGTATGTGCCTACAGCAGTATTTGTGTCAGGGTATAGACAATTTAGACATTTACTGCTACAGTCCAACAGTCTATAATATTTGTATTTTCTCATCTGATGTATAGGAGGGTAGAATAAAATAATCAAGCTATTTCCAGATAAGCAATACTGATTTTGTTTCTAGATGTACCGTAAGAACAAGTTCTGGAGAGCAAAACTACTTTTCCATTCAATATTTTGAACAGGAAACACAAAAAAACAGACATGGATGAGCTTCAAGAATTTGGCCTCTAGTTCCAGATAACAAAGAGGTAATGTAAAGGGTTACAGATGAGCCAAATTCTCCTACACACCCTAGGAAAGAGATAAAAAGGATCCCAGATGAAGCAATGATTTAAAAAAAAAAAGCCAACAGAAAAACCCAGAATAACAACAGATAAAACAGAAGCCAGTTTTTCCACCCAGTTCAGAACTTCAAAAAAGGAACCAGAAACTGGCAGAGGATGGAAGGGGGTAGGCACTAGGGAAGACAGTGCAGTCTGATAAACAGGCTTGAAGCCTGTAGGCTCTGGGAGAGGAGTTGCATCAGGGAAAGCAGTACAAGCCCCAGCAAATAAGCCAAAAGTCACTAAGTGCTGAAAGGTAGAGTCTGCAAAGAAAACCTGCCTAAATTCCAGTAAACACGCTTAAAGCCTGCAGGCAATGGGAGAAGGATCCCAGAGAAGCTAGCTTAAGCTCAGATAAACAAGACTGATGCCAGCAGGCAAGTTGAATGAGGATGCCCCAGAAAGAGGTCTCAGATCAGCCTAAGCAATCTCCAGTAAATGAGACATGATGCCAGATTTCAGTGGCCTGTCAGAAAAGAGGAGGAGAGAGCCAGTCTCCATAGGTCACTACCAAGAGAGAAAGGGCAGAATGGCAGTGGTATCCAAACTACAGATGGGACAGGGTCAAAAAGAGTGCACCCAACATATCCAAGTAAAGCCCAAGAGGTAAAACCTGAAGAGAATAGATAAGATGTACAAGTAAAAGCTGAGTTTCAAAGGAAAAAAAATTACTCAAAAGGACTTTAAGAATGCCAGGAAGAAACAAAGATATAAAAATGAAATGTTAGAGAAAAATTGGGAAGCAAATAAACAGATAAAAACTTATCCAAGTAGTAGGCATTCTGAAAAATGGAGCAGTCAAAACTCAAAAACTCCATGAAATAGCAAAAATATCAGAAAAAATTCACTTATCAGAGCCCAGGATCCTGGCAATAGAAATCAAATTCTTTTGGAAGAAGGATGAGGATGGCCAAACTATCTAGAAGAGAAAATTTAAGAACCATCAAACTCCCTAAGGCCAAATGAAAACAAAACACAAATACCATATTTCAAGAACTAATGAATTTAGAAAATTGCCCAGATGTTGGGCAAAGTTAAAACATGAAGAATCTACCAAGTTATACATCTCACTAAGTTGTGCATTGTACCTTTACAAAAAGTGACCATGTGCCAAGAGCATAAAGACATCAAACATAACTACAAAAAAGCAAAATATCAAATGCATACTTTACTAACCAAAACAACAATAAGGGAATTGAGAAAAGATTAAAAATCAAAGAATAATTTTTTGGGGGGGTATGGGGAGGGGGAATTGGGGTTAAGCAATCTGTCCAGGCTCACACAGCTCATAAGTGTCAAGTGTCTGAGGCCAGATGGATTTGAACTCAGGTCTTCCTGACTCCAAAGCCGGAGCTCTAACCACTGTCCCACCTAGCTGCCCCAAAGAATAAATAAATTAATCCTAAAGAACTGATGGGAAGTAGATCTAAGATGTTAAAGCAGCAGGAAGTGAGTTCCTTGACAACTCTTCCAAACAGATTTAAAAAACACACCAGAATGAATCCTGATTGGCAATCCAAGAAAAAGCCACAGGGAGTTATTTTTCTGGCACAAGGAAGCAGAAATGCCTGTAGACACTGGGGAAAAGGGTATGGTCAGGAGTGCTGAACATGCTGCACAGAGAGCATTCCAGAGGAAGAGAGAGGTTGTATACCAGGGCAAGAGGAGGTCCCAGACCTATACAAGAAGAATACACTAGGGGTGGGGAATAGGGGGAAGGCATTGTAAAGAAAGGGAATATTATCTCACATAATAGCAAGGAGTGGATGAGGAGAGCAGCTGACACGTGAACTTTGGCTGACACGTGAACTTCGCTCTCATCTGAACTGGTCAAAAGGAATACATATGTACAGAAATACACTTCATTCAACAGGGAAATCGGAGGAAAAGGAGGGAGGGTAGCTTAAAGGAGGGATTAAGTCCTAAGCAAAACAAATTCGAAGGATGTAAAAAAAAAATTTATATTTCTTTCTGAAGTGGCAAAGGTGGCAAAGACCAGGAATCTAAGAGGATGTCCATAAATTAGGGAATGGCTAAACAAGTTATGGCACATAATAAATGTGACAGAATACTACTGAGTTGAACTCTTATAAGTGAAACATGCTACCCACTTTTGATAACTTATTTTGATTTACTATACATGTTTGTAATGGGTTTTATTTTTCTTATCTGGGGGGGGGGGGGTAAGGTGAAAAGGCAGACCTTGGCTGATTAAAACAAAATATACAAACTGAACAATACAATTACCAATCACAGTTCTTAAGGGTTCGTGATGAAACATGCTGACCAATTCCTAACAGGGAGTTGATAGGATTCAGAATGCAGATTATGATATTTTTTTAAGCTATGGCCAATGTAAAAATGTCTTTTGCTTGTCTGCAATATGGGTTGTTTATCTTGCTTTCTATAAAGGTGGGATGGGGAGAGGGAGAGAATTTTGAATAATTTAAGAAATAAAAATTTAAAAGGACAGAAAGGGTTAGTAGCAGGGAAGTCAATACTTCCCTGATCAAGTAAAATGAAAGGACTCTAAGCTCCATTTCAGCTCTAAAATTAGAAGATTCTGGAGTCCATGATGAAATTAGGCAAAAACTATCTAAGTAATAAGTGCTTTCTTAAGCCTTTATGCTCTATACCTTTATGCTCTATATATGACCAATACCAAGAGATTGGAGTTACAGTGTCCTGTATGCCAATATGCCTGAATTACAAATTGGAAAGGTAAGAAAGGACAAGGTTGTAAAAGGATTTAAAAGTCAAACAGGAGTTTGATTCTACAGACAAGAAAGAGCCACTGGAGTTTATTGAGGACAAGAGTGATCAGACCTTCACTTTTGGAAAATTACTTTAGCTGCCCTGTGGAGGATGGATTGGAGAGGGAAGAGAATTAAAGCCCAGTTAGATTAATGTAATAGTACACATAAAAGGAGATGAGGGCCAGAATCAGCATGGTACCTGTAAGTGAAGAGAAGGGGACTTTTAAAGACGTTGTGGAGATACAAACAACAAGATCTGGCAAGGGATTGGATATGTGATATGAGACAGAAGCTGAGTTACAGAGGATTTCGAACCTCAACTAGTAGATGATGATGAGCTAAGCAGAAGTAGAGAAGCAGATTTTTGGGAAAAGCTAAGTTTTCTTTATAAATATTTTAAATTAAATTTTAAAATATTTGTTTAAAAGTATTTTGATCTGCTTTAAGATTTACCTTCTCACCCTTCCCTTTTACCAATTTCCTCCTCCTCCAACTGAGAACTCAAGAAAAACAAAACTCATTACAAACTCATATGGTTAATCTAAACAAATTTCTGCATTGGCCATATTTATTTTTTTTGTTGCATTCTGAGTCCTTAACCTCTATCAGGTAGGTAGCATGTTTTATCATTAGTCTTCTGGAATCCTGGTTGGTCAACGCCCTGATAAGATTCAGTTCAATAGGACTTCATCACATTTATATAATTTTCAGGGAGCTTTCTGCTTGGAGAAGGTTTTATACCTCTTCCGCCAAGCTATTAATTCCCCTTTCAATTCTTTCTTCCATAGCTCTCATTTATTTTCCAATTTTTTCCTCATGTGCTCTCATTCCATTTACAAAAACATTTTAAACCTCTTTTTTTTTTTTACACTCTCGCTTAATTTCTTCTAGGAATTCTAGGTATGTATCCAAGCTGTGTTTGAGTCATTTTCTTCTGTCTTGAATTTCCTGCCCCACCATAACAGCTCTTTGTGATGGGATTTTTTTTTTTTTGCTCATTCTTGATGTTAAGACTGGGTTCTGAGGCACTTCTGGATGGAAGACCTGGCCTGGTTCTGTTGCTGTTTTCTTGGCTATAGTGTTATATTATTCCAGGATCTCAGGGACAGGCTGGGGACCTGCAAGCTTTCAGGGCCCCCAAAGTGGTCTGATCCAGGGCAAATTCTGATTCCTGGCCACCCTAGTCTAAGCCCTGCAAGTTCCTGACCTGGATTTGGGCCTAAGCCCAAAGAGCAGACTGTTCCTGGACTCCACTCCTATCAGCCAGCTGGAAAGTTCTACTGGTTCAGAGTTGAAGAATTATGGGCTCCCCTTTGGTCTGAGTTTTCTGCCCTGGTTATTCCTCTGCACACGAGGCTAGATGCTGGAAATAAGACCCTGCTCTGAGCTTGGGGTGCGAGCCAGACTACTGCTGCTTGCCAGCTTCTGAACTTCCTTTCTTCCCCATACACTCCAGGGTCTCCTTCCCCAGGGATGCCACTCCCCTGCCCAGGTCCCTTCCTCAGTCTGCCCACCCTTGATCTGTGATTCAGAACTGCACAGCAGGCAACAAAGCTTCTAACTTGGACCTGTTCTGCTGCAGTGCCTCCCTAAGTATAGGGTTGGGATCTCCTCTTGGCTTGGTGCACAGCTTCTCCTTAGGGGCTGGAGTGCTCCATAGGCCCCTGATTAGACTTGATCTCCCTATCTGTCTCCATATCTGGAGATAAGCTAGACAAATGACTCACAGACTTTTTCTGGATTTCCTCATCAAGATTCAGTTTATATTGGTCTGGAGTTTGTAGAGGGAAGCCTAACACACTGCTTCCTGTCACTCCACCACCTTGGTTCCCACACTGATACCTGCTGCATAAGGGATATTCAGATGGAATTGTCTTTCTGGTAGTTTGTTATGGGTAACTGGAGCTAAGGATAGAGACTAGGGCTAGATATATAGATTTGGGAGTCATTGGCACAGAGATGACAGAACTGATGGAAGCTGATGATCACCAAGTGAGGGAGTACATCTAGAGAAAAGAAGTCACTCCTTGGTACACACCCACAGTTACAGTGTGACATGGATGACAAATTATCAAAGGAGACTCAGGATTGGCCAGAGAGGGAGGTGAACCAGGAGAGAACCCAAAGATAAGAATACAAAAAGAAGGTGGTCAACAATCTCAAATGTTGCAGAGATCATGGAGACCGAGGACTGAGAAAAGGTCAAGAGACAATAATTTTGGAGAGAGTAGTGTCAGGTGAGTGATGGTGTTCGAAGTCAGATTGCATGGGTTTAAGAGGAGACAAAGGAGCTAAAGTGGAGACACCAGTTAGCAGGGATGGGGGTATCTAAGGAAGACTTAGGTTTGTTTCTAAGCAGCAGGGAGAAAAACAAAAATAAAAAACAAACAAAAAGGAGCAGTCAGGTGAGGCAGTAGATAGAGCACTGGTCTGAGTGGAAAGAAACTGGAAAGAAAACCTCAAACACATAATACTAGCTGTGTAACCCTGGGCAAGTCACTTAACCCCATTGCCTAGCAAAAAAAAAAAAAAAAAAAAAAGCTAAGGGGAGGAAAGCAGTATATATGTAGAGACTGAAGATTAGAGAGAGGATGATAGTGGGAGCCATCTGCCTGAAAAGTGGGGTGAGACTAAGGATTCTTGGATAAGTCTCTTTATCAGAGACTACCAGATGGAGTTAAAGATCTGGAACAGCCTAAGGAGGAATGGGATAGAGAATCAATTTTGTTGTTCAGTTGTGTCTGACACTATGTAACCTCATAGGCTTTGTCCACAGGACTTTCTTGGAAAAGATAATAGAGTGGTTTGCATTTCCTTCCCCAGTGTGTCCCCATTTTACAGATGAGGAAATAAGGCAAAGAGGGATTAAGTAACTTGCCCAGGGTCACATATCTAGTGTCAGAGACAAAATATGAACTCAGATTTCCTGACCCCTGGGTTACTGCTCCATCCTTGGCATCACCTAACAATTTGGGAGGGGGCAGCTAGGTGGTACATGGGATAGAGCACTGGCCCTTAAATCAGGCCTCAGATACTTGACACTTCCTAGCTGTGTGACCCTGGTCAAGTCACTTAACCCCACCGCCTAGCCCAATAAAAAAAAAGAAAGAAAAGTAAAAAGATCAGGGAGGAATAAAAGAACTGTTGGGTAAATCACTTATCTATTTCAGTTTCCTCAACTTTAAAATGAAAGGGTTGATTACATTACTTAAGGTACTGACCAGCTTTAACTCCATAATCCTATCATCCCAAAAGAATGTAAGTTTGAGGACAGAAAGTTTCCTTTAAAAAAATTTTTTGTTCCCCCAGGGTCTTGCATATAGGGAAGAGTAAAAGAACTGCAAGGTAATTCACTTATTTCACAAGTTTCCTACCTTCCAAATGAAAGAGGGTTGATTAGATTTAGGGTACAGACTAACTTTAACTCCAAGATCCAATCATCCCAGTAGAATTGCAAGCTTGAGGGCACTGACCTCACTGAGAATTTAGGGAAATAACACTGAGAAATTAAGGGAATAACAGCTTTCTAGGAATCACAGACACGGGGATCTGGATCAGCTTGATGAATTTGGATAGCACTAACCTCTAAGGAGAAGCAAAGCTGAGTGCTGGTATCACTGGTGAATCCATAAGTAGCAATAGAGTGCTGAAGGGGGACCGAAGGGATACCCAGACTCCCATCTCCTATTAGTCCTGTTTTGTTTGTTTTTTTTTTTACCAACTAGGAAAGAGCTGGAGCGGCTATAACTACTACAGCTATAACTTTCGTCAAAAGTCATAATGTAAAACTGATAAAAAGGCAAAAGGGCAGACACTCTGCAGGGAGTCGTGCAAAGTAGGCCTTGAACGTGTTCTTCCTCCTTTTGCAAACCTGCCTCCTCTCTCTCAAGCCCAAATGCAAAATAAGATCGGGAATACCAAATTTAAAGCTGGGAAGTAACTCTGACACCCTTTAGGATACCCTCTCTCTGGGGAAACTGAGGCCTACAGCCGGAGAAATAACTCAGCCAAGATTCGAACCCCTGTCTCCAGATTCCAAAACCAGCCCCAGCCACCCCGACGTCGCGCATGCGTGCCGTGCCCCCTCCCGCTTACTCCGTGATGCGCTTGGCCAGCTCGGTGCAAGCAGCCGTGGAGTTGGCCGAGAAGACGCGGTATCCCGTACGGGCGGCGTTCATGGTTGGGAAGGCGGCGGGTCGGGCTCGAAGGGCGCGAAAGGTCGAGGATACGGACAGCGGGGGCAGCAGCAGCAGCTTCTTGGGCATCGTCCGGCCCGGCGCAGGCAGTGCGGAGAGGCAGGAAGAACTACTGAGGCCGAGGTCGCGGACGCATCCGCCGGGGGAGCAAACGCGCAGGGGGAAGGGGCGAGGTCGGAACAGGAAGGGAGGAGTTCGGTGGTCTCCCTCCGATCCCCCAGCGGACTTCCTCCGCAGCCCTCAGGGCCTTTGTGAACGCCCGCCCCGCTTGCTCCAACTGCTGGGAAGGAGCTAGGCCCTGCCCCCTGGTAGAATCCGAGAGGCGAGGGCTAGAGCGTCGTTCCCCCTCGCCTCAGTCTCCTCCTCCTCCGCTCCCTCCGAGGCGGTTTCTCTATGGAAAGTGACAAGGAACTCATCGTTTCAACTTCCGCCCACCAGGGGGACTCTTTCCTTCTCGCAGCCTCGGGCAACGCCGTGGTGGGCGGTTCTATGTCTAACGCTTCTGCCCCGATCTAAGATGGCTGACGCCGAGGGCTACTGTATTTTAAAAACTGCAGTAGCGGAGTTCCAAAACGATAAAAGTTCTTAGAGTCTAGCTTGGGACACTAGTTGTTTAGAGGGAACTGGAGGGAGAGTAGATCCAGGAACTTTCTTCAAGGCACCTACGGTTAACATCTACAGGATTCCCTGCTGTAGCCTTAGAACGCTATGGTCCTTAGCGCATGCGCGCTCCTGCGCTGGGGCCGGGGGTGGGGGGGGGGAGGAAGAGGTAAGCCGATTGGCTGAGCATCCTGTCGTTCACGCTAAACCTACGGTAGTAGACAAAAGTCCCTTGAGAAGACTGAAGGATCCTTGATTAACAACATGAGTGTCATTATATGTGTAGTCATAGGAGCATAGATTTAGAGTTACAAGGGACCGTAGAGCAGAGGTATGCTGGTAAATGTTTAACATCCGGCTGGGGGAAGGGAGGAAATGTACTCAGGACACGGTTTTAAGTTTAATCTGCATCATTAACATTTTCTCCATCCAGTCAACAAAACAATAAATCAAGTCCTGATTTTCAAAGTATAAATGCGCACAGTGGACATTTAACATTCGGCTCCACTTTGAGCTGGCTCCAGCATACCTCGGCAGTTGTCATAGAGACCAAGCCTCCCCACCCCCCCTCCCCACATTTAATAGATAAGGAAACTAGGGCCCCAAGAAGGTTAAATGATCTGCAAAAGGGCACAAAAGTGTCTGAGCAGGATTTGGCTCTAGGTGACACAAATCCCTGGCCCTTTCCAACACAGCCCCTTGCCTTGGTTTTCTACTCCTTTAAAGCCAATCCAAGGGTTCCCTGGGGGCTATTCTTTCAAAAGCATTGTAAAAACTTAGGCTTTAAAAACTCTTTGAGATTTAGAAACTGATTTCGTCATGACAGCTAAATATTGTCCCAACTCCACAGATTAGGAAACTGACACAGAGAACTGAAGTGATTTGCCCAGGGTCACACAGCGATCAAATTGGATCGTAAAATTGCATCCCAATCTTCTGCCTCTAAATCCATTGCACTTTTTTGCCCTGCAAGGAAACCTTTCTCAACCCCTCTTAACTCGAGTGCCTCCGTCTCTTATTTATTTCCTATGTATCGTGTTTATAGCTTGTTTGTACACATTTGGCATCTCCCTCATTAGATTGAGTTCCTTGAGGGCAGGGACTGTCTTTTGCTTCTTTTGTGCTAGCACGCTACCTGACACATAGTAGGCACTTAATAAATGTTTATTGATTGACAGACTTCAACTTTTAGAATTCCTGGTTTCCTTCAAAACTCAGCTTAAGGGGCAGCTAGGTGGCTCAGTGGATATGGCTCCTGACCTGGAGTCAAGAGGAACTGGGATTAAATTCGGTCTCAGACCAGACATTTTATACTTAGCAGCTGTGTGACCTTGGGCAAGTTACTTAACCCCAATTGCCTTGAGAGGAAAAAAAAAAAAAAACCTCAGCTTAAGTGCCACCTTTCACATGGAGCCTTTTCTGATCTCCACAGCGCTAGGGCACCCCCCCAAAAAAACTACCTTGTATTCATTTTGAATATATTCTGTATAAAGAGGGTAGATTAGACGCTACCCAACTGAACTCTCTCAACATTCTGCTCTGAGCAACTTTAACACCCCAAATCAAATTTTGGAGTGGCAGAGACACCAAAAGGTCAGAGTGAGACATTATTCAGGCCTAAGAAAATTTAGGAGGTCAACTGGAGAAGTTTGTCACATGAGGTGGAAGCCTGTCCAGACACCACCTTCCCCCTCCCCCCCCACAGTTGTAGCAACAATAGTCACAGCAAAAACGGTAAGGGGGTCATACAACTGGTCAGAAAGAGATTACAGGGGCCTCTTTGCTGGCACTGACAACTCTTGCCCACATGCAATTCTGGATCAAAGTTCCAGGGTGGAGAAGACCATTGGGAGCAGGGTCCCTGATTGTGGTTCCAAGGCAAGAGAGTTCTTCAGCTTGTGGCTGAAGGGCAGCATGAGTCCTTCCTGAATGAAGACTAGGTTCAGACCAGGAGAGCCGTGACCACACCTCTCCCAGGATAACACCATCTTGGAAGCACCAAAAACTTTCAGGTACTCAGAACTAGCTCTGAAAACAGCAGCTCAAAAAAGCCTGAAGCTTGAGACAATGTCTCCCCACCTCCAAGTCAAAACCCAACTTTAACATAAAGTTCAAAGTCAAGAAAGAGGCTGGAAAAATGAACAAATAACAACAAAAAAGAATTTGACCATAAAAGGCTACTATGGTGGCAGGGAAGACAAGGACATAAACTCAGAACAAGATAACAATGTGAAAACAACTACAAACAAAGCCTCAAAGAAAAATGCTAATTGGATCCAAGTCCAAAAGTTAAAGAAAGAGATAAGAGTGGTAGACAAAAAATTTGGAAAAGAAATGAGAGTAATGTGAGAAAATTATGAAAAGAGAATTAACAGCTCGATAAAAGAGGCACACAAAAATACTAAAGAAAATAACACTTTAAAAGACAGAATTGGCCTAATAGTAAAAAAAAAAAAAAAAAAAGGTACAAAAATTCATTGAAGAAAAGAACTTTAAAAACAGAATTGGCGAAATGGAAAAAGAGGTACAAAATCTCACAGAAGAAAATAATTCCTTAAAAATTAGAATTGGGCAAGTGGAAGCTAATTACTCCATAAGACATCAAGAAACAATAAAACTCTTGGGGAGGGAGGAGGGGAGAGAAGGGGAGAAAATTGAAAACTCAAAAGCTTATGGAAGTGAATGTTGAAAATTAAAAATCAATTAGAAATAAAAGGTGAGAAAAAAAGAAACAAAACAAAGTCAAAAGAATAAACTGTAGAAGAAAATGTGAATCTATTCTGCATATATTCATATGTGTAGTTGTTGGTTCACACACACTTAAGCTCCTTCAAGGCAGTTCCCTTTTGTATTTGTACTCTCAGGGTTTAGCATTGTTAGTATTAGCATATAGTTGGTGCTTAATGTGTGTTTCTTTACTGTTGACTAAATGCTTTCTCATTCATTCATAACCTACCCTCTATTCAACTTCGCCACTTTTTCTGAATAAATACCTAAAACCCAGTTCCTTCTTTCTTTCTTGTCTTTATGTTCTCTACACTCCAAAATACAATGGTATAGTTTATTTCTTAAATGGATTTATTTAAAATATGATACAAATTAACAAATAATATAACAAGATATGAGAAATAGAAATGCCAAGGTCAGTCCATTGTAGCTCCACTCTAGATAAATATATTAATGTTTTTGTGTCCTTTTTTTCCATTCCCACAGTAACTGCATTAGTTTAGATCCTTTTCTTTGCTCTTTTGACTATTGTTATAATTTCCTAGCCAGTCTTTTATTTCCCTTCCAATCTATTCTTTAGACTCCAGCATAAATAATCATAGATTTAGATCTGGAAAGGACCTTAAAGGTAATCTAGTCCAACTCTCTCATTTTACATATGAAGAAATAGTCTTAGAGAGTTGTAGTGACTTGCCCAAAATCACACAGTGTCAGAGGCAGGATTTGAACCCAGGTCATTTGATTCCATTTCAATTCAACAAATAGTAAGTGCCTGATATATGCACTTAACAAAAACCTTCAGTGGTTTATCTTTGCCTACCTATTCAAGTATAAACTCTTGAGCCTGAGATTCAAGGCCTTCTACAATCTGACTTCAATCTCTCTATTCTTGGCTCTAATCACTCCTTTTCACGTATTATTCCTTTAAATTGGACTATTATCCTTTCCTGGTTTTTAATTTGGGGTTGTTGGTTTTTTTTTCTTTTCATCCCTGCCTTTGCTTGAATGAAGTCTTTCTCACTCCCCTACCAGTATGGAAGTCTCTCAAAGCCTAATTTAGATGACAAATCCTTCAGAAATTTTCCCAAAATACCTTCACTACCCTGATGAGGATGGGATCTGGACCCCAAAAAGGAAAAACCCTGGACTTTTCCACATGGCCAAATCTCTGGCATTTGCCTCAGGCTATAATCCTATCAACTGGCCTTTCATTATCCCCTAGGCCCAGTCTACCTCCAGATGGCTCCAGGCCACTTTCCACCCTTAATCCTATCTAGACTCCTTTCTCCCCTGGATCCCTAGCTCTCTCCCACAGTCTTTATGTAAGGTCCATCTTGTCTCCATTAAGGTGCTGAGATTCTTAAGATCTGGCCCCCTTAAATTAGCTATACAAATGCTTAGATTCCTTAAGAGTCTGCCTAATATGATGGATGTTCTAATAAACCTTGCCTTTGGCTGAAAGAAGGCTTGGGTTGAATTCATTCGGGCAGAACCTTTGTGTTGTGATTTTGGGGTCCCAGCATCCCTAAACCTCTAAACCTCAACAACCCTGATGGGGTTGGGATCTGGGCCCCAGAAAGGAAAAAAACCCTGGAATTTACCACATGGCCAAATCTCTGGAGTTAGCCTGAGGCTATAATCCCATCAATTAGCCTTTCCTTGTGGCTACACTCAATCTCCCCTCCATTGTCTTACCTCCCTATGGCCCCTGGGCATTTCCCACACTTAATCCTAGCAGGCTCCATTGTCTAGGTCCTAGGAGTTCTGTACACCCCAGTTTACTGGCCACTCCCATTCAGATCTTCCTTAGACCCCTCCTCCAGTCACCCCAAATTCCTTGGCCACTCCTAGATCCCTCTCACAGTCTTTCTGTATATAAGGTCCATCTTGTCTCTTTTAAGATGCTGGGATTCTTATAATCTAGCCACTACACAGATTTTCACAATCTAGCCAATAGCCCACAGATGCTCAGATTCCTTAAAAGTCT